TTATCAAAACTGCGCTAAAGAGTCAGATTCTCCAGATCTATTTAGTAGCCAAGTTGCCTCAAGTTAAGTTTTCCCAAAAAACTAACAAGATCTGGGTTAGAGCAGCGAATCGACTGCTTTGGGGCCTTGGTTAAGTCTCATTCATAGCACAACATCCGGCGATGTGTGACGACGCTGATGCCTGCGCAACATCCGGTCGCATTGCTGATGTGTAGGCAATAACAGAAGCTTTGCTTCCCGTCCGTTCTAATAACCTATACTCGATCGGTGCTGAAAGCATAGGATCTGCCTGCGAATGAGGGACCCCTAGGTATCTCACTGCCCTCTTGATAGGATCTGGACGGGTATGCAGGCTGACCTGTAGTAGGTGGGCTAACTCATGAAATGTCAACCGAAATTCCGAACTGAGTATTCGTTTCGAAAAAGACTAATTAAGTAGGGTTGTAAAACTAGTCAGCCTGCAACATAATTCTATGATATTTCAGTTACCTCAGGATGCTGGCTTTCGAATGAACTTCCCTCCGGCCGCGTGCAGGGATAAGACTCTGCAAAAAATGTCTACTTGAGTGGCATGCATTTTTCTCATTGATTTTCGATACCCCTAAGAGTCCAATTATATTTTATGGAGAACGCGCATAAAGATATTCACTCCTTTGCTCATTCGGTAGATAATTAAGTCGTCTTCTAATTTTATGCACGTAGGAGGGATATAATTCGGTTTTAAAAAAGTTTACCGATTCCCGAATAATTTTGAACCCGCTCTACCGTCACATTTGCATTCGTGGTTTCCAAACTACAAGCCGTATATTTTCCGCGTACGGAAAACCACACAGTTCTCTATGATAATAAAGGGGGACCATATAGGGTTCATAAAATTAGGCAGTGGATTTGATCCATATTGTTAACTTTACGAGCCACATTGGTAACTGCAGAGACATAACGATTTATGAACGGCCATTTTACGGTGTTTAAAAGTGCCACGATTAGAAACTTTTTAAAGACCGAATTATTTCCCTGAAATCCTGAATCCAAGAGTGACGGTAGAGCGGGTTCAAAATTATTCTGGAATTGGGAAGATTTTTAAAAACCGAATCATGTTCTTCCTTCGAGTATAAGATTGGAAGAAAGCGTAATTTTCTACCGAAAGAGCAAAAGAATGAATATTTTTATGCCTGTTTTCCAAGAAATATAATTGAACTTTAGGGGCATCGAAAATCAATGAGAAAAATTAATGTTACATAAGTGGTCGTTTTTTACAGACTGTAGTTATCGCATGCAGTCAGAAGGAAATTCATTCGAAGGCCGGCATCCTGAGATAACTGAATTATCATAGATTTATACTGCGGACTGATGAGTTTTACAATCCCACTCAAGTAATCTTTTCGAAACGAGAACGCATTTCGGAATTTCGGTTGACATTCCATGAGTTAGCCCACCTACTGTACGCCCCGTTGCTCCGACGGAGTGTAGAGAATTATGAGCAGGACGGTTAGCGCATTTTAAAACGGAGCTTTAACATTTTAAGCACACAGAGGCTTGGATGGTGAGAAGCTGAGACGGCGATGCGGGGTGGGTCAGGTGGCAGGGCAGATAAAATGCGAAAAAGAACGGAAAAGCACGTAAAGGATGAAGATTACGGCCACCTCCGTCTACTTGGAATGGCATCAAAGTATCGTTAGACGCAATGTACGAAGACGATAGAGCACGGAACATTTTCTATGCTTCTACTACGCTATCTTCTTAGTTGCGTGGAGGGTTGAGAAATACTGGACACTTACTCGGGGCGTAGACTATAAATAGAGTGAACAGGATTATCCGTCTGTGTCTGAAATACTTTCAAAAACTCCATATCGCGTATGAGGTGTGTGCACAACGTCACCGGTCAATCCATTTGGAAACTGATGATGGGCATGATGGTATGCCCAGCCAGAAATTTTGCCGTCTGCAACGCCAGACCGTCATTCGGGAGGACAACCCCTTGATGTAGTTTAGGAAGAGAAACAACCCGGGCTTGGACCTCTGCTGAACACCCTCATGCAACGTGGGCTCACGAAACACAGCTTTCCGAGCTCTCAGGTGGAAAATCCCGTAACTTAGAAGGCAGTTAATCGCAGCTCCAGGTGAACCATGCTAGTAAATATCCTCAGTGAATTGTTTGTGGTTAATTATGCCGAAGTCCTACTGAGGTCAGTAAGGGCAGAATCGCATGTTCCATTCTGTCCCGAATGGTTGTTGTAGTTAGTCTTGTGAAGTATGACCGGCCCCCAAGGAAGCTGCGTTACCTGGTACTCACAAGCTCCAGCAACTTCAGGAAGTCGTACGCCACACAGGCAAGATGGACTAGACGGTGGTTTGCAGTAAACCACTCAGACCCTTTCCAGGGTGGACGGCTAACTAGGGTTCGCGCATCAAATCAACTGGGATGACAGCTGCCCTATGACTGACGTTAAATGACGCAGAGGGGCAGTTTGGACTGAGGAAAGGGATTTCGCGAGGGATGAAGTCTAAGAAGGGCGATACTACAGTTTAATTTGTGTCGAGGTCCAGTAGGTGCCTCACCACGCTTGCCTGTTCAGTTACCAAGTCTGCCATTAGCAACACCATCTCGGAGATCTAAACCTGTGTGGACGTTTGTTCGTCTAACTCGAACGTCAGAGTTTGTAGAAAGCGTCTACCCTTTGATCCGTATGCAGATGCCACTGTTACTTCCAGGCGCAGTTATGTACCGGTTGTTTTTCACGTGCCTACGGACAGAATAACAGTATGCATCCGGCTCAACTGTACCTGAACCACCTAGTCTGCCTTCGTATATGGTCCGGCTACATCGTATCAGGGTGGTGACCTGATTTTTCATTCTCGCGCGTACCTACGAACGTTGCTCCGCTACTTCTGCCTTAGAGCTTGCTGTCAAAGCTTATTTCTTCCAGCAGCAGGCTGTTGTGCCTTCGTAGAATCCACAGGCGACTGCCTATTGGCAGTTTGGTCATTTTTTGAACATATGGGAGCCTACGACAACTCTGTTCGCTTTGATGAGAATCCATCCTCCCCCTGCATCTGGCATTGTAAAAGCCGTAGTCCCTGAAACTTGACTATCCGAGCTTCGATATAGCCTGCTGTGCTGGACGGCAACACTGATGGACAGAACATGATCGCTATCATTTGGTTAATGATCTGGAACGTTTAAAAACGTCTCCTTGGTCGGTCGGTAAGAAAACCAGATAGAGGAAAGGTGGAGGCTTATTTGGAAGAAATAGTGTGGAACAGCTGAATCGATTTAAGTAATTACTAGGGGTTACGTGGTCAATCGCGGCCGCTTTTGACGGTGCAGGCGTCCGAGATGCCAATTTACATGGTGACATTCTGGCTTAAATGGAATATCTCGGGATTATTTCGCATGATACTCTATTGCAACCCCACCTTCGTAATCTTTTCCAACAAAAATCAAATTTCAGAATTTCAACTGATATTTAACGAGGTATGTCACCAAATACACCTCCACAGTGGATTTACTAAATGAGCTTAGTATCCACCAAAGTGCCAAAGGCTGCCCCGAGGTTACTTTGCCTACTTGATCTTACATGAGGTTTTACCGCCCAGTACATTATTTTCTAGCCTCAGCGGCTACTGTCGCTAGTGGACAGCCTTGTATGTTCGCAGTATTAAGAAGTACAGTGATCTGATTCATGTGCCCGTCTGCAGCTGGATGAATTTCCTCCGTTGCTCAAACACCCCGCACGTTGTCTTCCTGGCTGCGAACGGCTTTTTGGGCTTGGTCGGGTCCAGGTGCGGGAGGATGGAGTGCGGTAGATGCAGCGAAAGTCTGCCACCACCATAAATTAATTCACGCGCAAGTCACCGTTCCTGCTCCAACCCTGCCTTCGAGCACGCGGACCACATAATCGATAGTAATGGTCGAATTGTAGTGGGTGTCCGGCAGGCGCTATCGGAAATGCGCACTCAGAGCGCAAACTGGGATCTGTCACCGCCCTTCTTCTCTTGTGGTATAAAATCCTGGGCAGTGACCATTGTGGACCAGGAGGTATGATGGCACGCCTCGATGCGAGTTCACACCGTGTCACGCCCCCTTTCGCCTACGGCCTTCTTTACAGTCTTGACACCGGATCCAGGTGAGAGAGGAGAGACGAGTGTGGCAGACGCTGTACAAGTCCACTATCACTACAAACTAACCCACACGCAAGTCATCGTCACTGCTCTCACCTTGCTGTGGACATCATCGACAACGACGGTCGAACTGTCGTGTGTCCAGGTGCTTTGACTGTTGCCTAGCACGCAGTGCTTCTGAGTCAGAAGCAGCGAAGACAATGGACTCACAGGGACCCGAATATTGCAGTCTCATAGCCATATGAGCGTTAATTACTTTCAGGGGAGAAATCAATCACCCGCCTCCGTTAATTGGCGAAAATGACATTGTAGCGCGTACTGTCGAGAGATAACAGGCTGAATGTCGTGAAATCCACCACTTGAGCTCAAGTTACTCTACAGACCAGTGTGCGCAAATTCGGAGATCGCGAATCCTACATCTAGTGCTAAGATCACTTTCCTACCGCGATTCCAAAGAAGTGTACCATAATAAGACGCGGTCAGAGGATCTATTCGGGCTAGGACTGACAGAACGCGTCACTTGTACCGTAACGAGCCCCAACCGTCGGCAAAAGTTGTACATTCTCCTCTAGTGGCGGCAGGCCAGGTAGTCTAAAAGGAAACGGGGCTCCCGTAAACATCCTGTTTGCGGATTTGGAGGGAGCATTTTACCGAGTGGCTCAAACCACCAGTCCCGGTTGGCTCTCTCATCTGAATGAGTCTGTCGTAATAGTTTCTGAAGAACCCTTGTTAGGACAGCAAGTGTAACTTAAACTTGGACGTTAGTGTCGAAGAACAGAAGATGGGTGTGGTCGAACTTCAAAGTACGTATTAAAGAGGTAGAAAAATAGATCTGTCTCCCTCTCTATAAACATGTATGTACAATTTAGTATGTAATCTCAGACCACTCGAAGCTGCGGATACGGCGGCACAACTAGATAAACTTCTCCGGTCCCCGAGTTACTCGCAGTGCCGAGTTTTGTCTTGCGTAGACGCCATGGCGCCTGGCGTCTTCCCATTGGACAGCTGTGCACCAATGCCAACTGCAGAGGCCGCAGGAATCCCGGAGAGGTGAACCAATTGGTCAAAGCCTGACCAAGGGCATTCTCTTCGTTGGGGGTATGCTGAATACCTGCGGTCTCCTTACTCGGAGGCTGCCAGGTCCAGACCATGTAGCCCAGGCGCATGACGCTTTGTAGCAGATCTAGGGTCATGGAGGGGGTTAGACCCAGGAGTAACGACAAGCGGTCCAGTTGCTCCCGATAGGGCAAAAGGTTCTGACGACTGGAGGTGTTTCTGACCATGGAATCGGGATAGAAAGTTGAAGACGCGTTAGCAGCACCTGTGTCTGGCTGTTTTGGACAAAAGTCTGCTGTGTCAAAGGTGATAATCCCGGCTGCAGAGCCGTCAGAGACGAGACACTTTAGCAGAACGCTGGCGATTGGGCTGCTCGAGGCTGTAGGCATAAAAAGAACCAATCATATTCATCTAGTCTGTTGGAGTGTGTATAGTCACACGCCGCCCATGGAGACAGCAATGACAAAGTCAATCTTCATGGAATGTTGGTCAGAAGAGGAAAAATCCAAAGAAATGCGATATAACTACGAAATTAATGATCTGTATTTTATGAGATTTAAAATCCCTCCCCCCGTAATTCTCTCAGAGAAAACATTGGCACGACAACTTCCGGGCAGAATTTCAGTAAGGAATAGAACACATCGATCGAAATTTCAGATCAAAATTAATTTTCAAATATACCGCTTTGCGAAGCGTAAGACATGCTTGATCGACCTAAATAGTTAAAATCGGTTGGGTTTGGAAGACCGGAATGCTTATTAGACAAGTACAAATCGCTATATTCCCAGCCCTAGAGGAGAGGATCGAGTAACACCGGAACTCAGCTTCCCTAATGCGCTAGAGGTTGTCACCAGAGATATGTGAAACCAGTAACACAATCTATTCTTCCTGGCGCTCTCACAGTTCCAACTGAAGCATATCTTCTGGGTGGCTTGCCCTATATATGCAAGACACATGTTGCGTACTTAGAGCAAGCCGAATCCCTGGCTGGAGCGGCAAGGTAAATGGAGAACTCCAAAAGCGAGGAAATGTCTGTTGCCAAAATAAGACGAAACACTGACCCGCTGAATCCCATGCAGGTGAACTATCGACGATTACCAGGTTCGCCAGCAGTCTGAGCCATCGGCTAAGGACAGACTCGGGACGGCCAACGCTTAACCACCCTAGCTACGAGGCCCCACAGGGAGCCGCGAATTTAACCGCATTTGGGTCGAGTTCCCCGGCCAGTCTACTGCAACATACAGTTCGGTTGTCTTACCCGACGATATCCACCGTGTGATCCACAACTACAGTAGGTGGACTAACTCATGAAATGTCAACCGAAATGCTTTTCGTTTCGAAAAGATTAATTAAGTAGGGTTGTAAAACTAATCAGCTTGCAGCGTAATTCTATAATAATCCAGTTACCTCAGGATGCCGGCTTTCGAATTAACTTCCTTCCGGCTGCATGTAAAAACTACACTCTGTAAAAATGACTACTTAAGTAGCATGGATTTTTCTCATTGATTTTCGATGCCCCTAAAAGTCCAATTATATTTCATGGAAAACATGCATAAAATGCTCATTTTCTCGCTCATTCGGGGGAAAATTACATCTTCGTCCAATTTGATAATCGAAAAAGGGACATAATTCTGTTCTGAAAAAGTTTCTAATCGTGGGACTTTGAAATACCGTGAAATGGCTGTTCATAAATCGTCATATCTCTGCATTTACCAATGTGGCTTGTAAACTTAACAATATAGACCAAATCCACTGCTTAGTTTTATGAACCCTATATGGTTCCTCTCTATTTCCTTAGAGGAACGTGTGGTTTTCCGTACGTCTTGTAGTTTGGACACCCTGAATTCAAGTGTAACGGTTGAGCCGGTTCAAAATTATTCGGGAATCGGGAAAGTTTTTAAAAACCGAATGATACCCTTCTTTCGAGTATAAGATTGGAAGAAGACGTAATTATCTACCGAATGAGCGAAAGAATGAATATTTCTATGCACGTTTTGCATGAAATATAATTGCACTTTTAGGGACATCGAAAATCAATGAGAAAAATCCATGCTACTTAAGTAGTCATTTTTACAGTGTAGTTCTTGCATGAAGCCGGAAGGAAGTTAATTCGAAAGCCGGCATCCTGAGGTAACTGGATTATTATAGAATTATGCTGCAAGCTGATTAGTTTTACAACCCTACTTAATTTATCTTTTCGAAACGAAAACGCATTCCGGAATTTCGGTTGACATTTCATGAGTTAGCCCACCTACTGTAGGTGAGGCAGGCATGATGACATGCGCGTGAATTATTCTATGGTGGGAGTGGACTTGCGCTGCATCTACCGCACATTCTTCTCCCCCTGCCTGGGTCCGGTGCCAGGACATAGTCAAGATTACCGGAGCGTAGATGGTTGGTGCGGTCGGACCCGCGCCTGGGCGTACCACCACATTCCCTGGTCCACAACAAACACTTGACTAGGATTTTAACCAACAACGGCACCACAACGGGTCAGAAGGGTGAGGATGGCTAGGCATCCATGCTCACAACCTGCACACCCAAGCGGGAGCACAGGCACATCGACCGGCAGGGAACCAGGTGTCAGAGAACCTCCGGCGTACACCAGGCTGCCAGGGCCTACCAGATGCTTACATTCCATTGGGCTTAGAAGGGTGACATTCAGCTCTGCATTTAGCCTGGGTCATCACCCTTCAAAGGCTGAGTAACCAGTCTGTCGTCGACTGAGAGGTATTACCTATAGAATACACACACACACCCCACATGCACGGGAGTGTGAATACGGAATCCACCAATAATGACATAGTAAGTTAACTCCCCAAACAGCATTTCCTAACTAGTCAGTCTAGAACTCGCTACGTGACTGCCGGTCTCACTTAATTGGTTTTTTGGCAGTTCTCAAGAATTCATCTGATTCAACTGTGAATTAGTCGTTTAAATCTGCCAAAAATACAAATTAAGTAGGCCTGATGGCAAATTGATTGCTTCGGAAATCCTGCTTGGGCGGTCAGCTTACTGTATCACAATTTGTAAATTCTTGACAATGCAGCGGGCCGAACGGGCAACTTGACGTAAATGTGACTAAAATCACAACTCCCGGTGGGACCTGGTAGCTCAGGTGGTTAGAGCGTCGGCTGTATCCGAGCCTTGATCTTGCTGTCGTAGGTTCGAATCCCACCGACGCCGCCGAGTTTTTCACCGGTGGGTCAAATAAATAAGTGGCGGGAATACAGTGTCGCAACACTTAGAATTGTCTATTCCCCCACCAGCCTATCTTACGGGTGGACTACTACTACTACTACTACCACTGATACTACTACTACTACTACTACTACTACTACTACTACTACTACTACTACCACTACTACTGCTACTACTACCGCTGTTACTACTAATACTACTACCACTGGCGGGAATACAGTGTCGCAACACTGAAGAAAACTTTTTCCCCCGTCTACCACCACTGATACGGCGAATACTACTAATAATCCCACTATTAGTACTACTACTACTACCACAACCGCCACGGCTGCCAATGCTATTCTACCAACGCTTACAGTATGGGTAACTAAATGCAATAATACTAGCATCAGTAACGGAGTGTTGCGACACTGGTATCCAACCAAATAAGTTAGTCCGTCACAAACGACGAGACCACCACTGGTTAGGAGATTGTTGTGCGACGATGACTTGCGCAGGAGCACGATAATGGCGACGCCACTTCACGGAGCGTCTATCTCACCCGCCCCCCAACGCCAATATCGCCTCAATTGTATGAAAACGCCCAGTTGACTGGACATAGCCATGGGGGCAGTGTATGACGAGGCTGACGCCGCATCTACGCGCACTACATACGCGCCCATCCATGACTTCACACGAATCGGGTTTAGAAAAGAAAGGGCTAGTGTAAGTAAAGCAAAAGTTCTCCTATGCAGGAAACAGTGAGGTCTGGCCTCTAGTTATGAGCAGAACCGAGTCATCTCATCAACTGGCAAGCCACGATGGCGTTACGGAAGTCACACATTTTTCTGTTAGTTCAAAAGAACCTCCAGTTGTTAATGCAGTGTTGCAATGAATAAAAATCATGTTATGTAAATACAGGGCCGAAACGTGCAGATATTTGGAGGGTCTTTGCAGTCGAGGACAGGTTTCTCAAACTGTCAACGAAGTTTGTAAAGTACAAATCATTGCAGACTCTTTAGCATTAATTTTTCAGACAGGAATGGTTGTCTTTAAAGTGATACTGAGAAACGAACTATTTTTAATCTCCTCCACTGACAATAATGAACTTGGTATAAGCACTCAAAAGCATAAATAAAACCGCGATTTGAAGCTGTGTGAAACTCTAGCATAAAGTCGGCAAACTGTGAACTGTAAAGTCCGACCCCACCTGTTTCAAGGGTCAATTTAGGTCGCGCAAGTATATCTAGGGGCTAAGGCAAATGCCTCAACGCTCTTTGTTGCAAACATAAGCTGCCAAAAACCTGAAACAGAACTCACAGTGCATAAGCTGACTACGACAGAAACAGACTACTGAAGAAGGAGTAAAGTTAGCCGATTGGTCGGTGTATAGTTGCAATCCTTGATCCTGAATAGATTCAAGAAATCGCAAGTAGTTGCTATTTAGCAATGTGTAGTATGAGGCCCAACCACCTTCACCGGACAGTCCGTGTACATCTGCATTTCAAAATAGCGAAAAAGCAACCACGTGCCCTGCGAAACGCGCAAGTATGGCGTAGTTTTCTCTAGCAGTCGTTATTCTCTACGACAGAGGCACATCTACTCGCAGTCGTAATAACAGTTCACCCATTGGCGGTCTGTTAGTGAACTGGGATTGCGAAAATTAGGCTACACGGGGAACTCTTCCCCTCTCCACTGCTGCCATTACCACGACATGTTTTTGAAAGCCCAGGACGATGGCGGTGCGCGAAGAGAAACTGAACTTACCCAGTCCCTTCGAGAAGACAATCCGAAGTTGCAGACACTTGAGCATATTAACAAAGTAGAATTTGGCGTCTTCAGAAGAGTCCGATTTGCAAAAGGCAAGGAGTGAGAAGGTGGAAGACGAAGAAGCAGAAGAAGAAGAGGGGGCATCAAAGCCGTGAATCGACGGGCATTCGCTAGCCTGCTGTGTCACCACTACTTTTACGGAGCACAGAGGACAGGGGTCTGCCCTCACTTTTTCTTCCTCTTGTTGCACCATAGTAGATTCAAAAGGAAGACCCTCACACGTGGAGGCGATAAATGAAGGAATTGCATCCACCTGGAATCGATTGGGGCGCAATGGTACGACGAGTCTCCAAGAGCAGTCACTGTGACTCCAGTAAGCGCGAGCCTTAAAGAGGCAAACTCGACTGAGAGCCGGCAATCGGCATAGATCTGACAAGCCGGAGTCGGAAAAGAAATCCACACGGAGTTTGGGCGGGGAGGGTGTAGATGGCAAGGGATCAACAAGCCAGATACTGCCCTTAAAGAGCGAGTCGGTATCCGGGCGCATTATCGACCGAGCGACTAGGCCCTAGAAGAGAAACGTTGACAAAAATGTGCTACTGCAAACGAATTAAGTAGACATTTTGTGGAATTCTTACTAGCTCACCTGCAAACTAATGCGGAAGTGGTCGCCCGAGGGACTGAGGTAACACGAACTGTCCGACAGAGAGCACAGCAGCCACGAGGCCTCAGCGATGCTCAAAACCTTGCAACGGAAAAGGTCAACCAGGTGACGACACGTGCTCAGTCTCCGCTCGAAGGGTTGTGCGAGGCGGGTGACTGAAACCAGTCGGGTGGGCTTTGTGGTGATGCCACCTTCATCCGGAGTGCCAGGTAATTCTAGCAGCAAGGTGGAGCCGACTTGAAAGATCCCGCTGCAGTAGGCACGTCGAGCGACTGCCCCGTAGAGAGTGATTGAGCCGAGAGAGGTGGCTGAATTACTTTCCTGAACTGGGGTAACTAGGTCGTACTTGAGGGTGAAAACAGTAGGAGATGCGGCTTCTCCAACATGACGCACAAAGATGGTGAGGTGTTCAGATAAGATTTGCGAGTCTTCGACGAGTGTCGAAGATGTTTCTGGAATAACATGAGTGGTAGCTGCTTTTCGAAGGACACAGAGTCTCTGAATGGTGAGGAATCTTTCGAAGAAAGCCATTCTAAAAGTAGAGAGCAGCTTAAGGAGAGACACCTGCACAGGCAACGGAGAGGGGAGGCAAGGGAGGTGAGGTTGCCTGCCAAGTAGCAAATGGTGGAAAAACAGGCGGATCCATAGAAATCGGCCTTCGCTTGTGCAAAACTTCATCACAATAAAAAAAAAAGACGCGGCTATCGAAATGTGGCCACTTTTACGGGTCGTTGGCGAACATTTTACTCAATTATTCAACAAATTAATCCAAAATAAGCAAAAATGCACTTTGTAACATGGGCCTAACTCCTCTTTTTCAATACATGAATTATTGAGAATTGAGGCCTACGTCTCACTACAACAAAGGTCAGTGAAGATATAAAGGAAAATCGTATACGACTGCGACCGCCTTATCAGCAGATAATCGCAACTTCGTTCCAAAATGTGAATAAAACGAAATTTCGGTCTGACATCAGGAAAGTCTCACGGCAGTGCTATATTACTCGAAACCCGACTTCATGAGCCGGGCGCACTTTATGTGGATTCGGTATCCACCAACCCACAGTTCACAGCCCTCTGATTAATTATCGGAAACTGAAGGCCCACAAACGGTGTCTGATCCAGGAATTAAACGAAGGCGACTCTGACCACAGATCTACAAAGTCCACCGAGCTGTGCAATAAAGAATAAAGACGTACACAAAGAGTCTGACAATGCTAGCTTTGCATGGGTCTTAGGGGCAAACGGTTTTTACTAACCCAGCTTGCAAAATAATCAGATCTCGGCGTTCGGTACAGCTAGCACGCAATAATTATAATTGAAGGCTGTATTTTTAACTACCCCGCCGATGATCAATTCAGCCTACTCAACGGCCCGAATATCATAGTAAAATGCATAAACATCGGTGTCCGCAACTACACGCCGCGCTACCTTCCGAAATGCGTTCTCGTTTCGAAAAGATTCATCAAGTAGGGTTGTAAAACTAGTCGGCCTGAAACATAATTATATAATATTTCAGGTACCACAGGATGCCGGCTTTCGAACGAACTTCCTTCTGAATGCATGCAAAAACCACTTATGTAGCGTGCATTTTTCTCATTTAATTTCGATGCCCCCAAAAGTCCAGTTATATTTCATGGAAAATATACATAAAAATATTCATTCTTTTACTCATTCGGTAGATAATTACCTCTTCTAATTTTATGCTCGAAGGAAGGACATAATTCAGTTTGAAAAAAGTTTCTAAAAGTGAGACTTTTAAATACCGTGAAATGGCCGTTCATAAATCGTCATGTCTCTGCATTTACAAATGTAGCTCGTAAAGTTAACAACATGGATCAAATCGACTGCTTAATTTTATGAACCCTATATGATCCCCCCTTAGTACCGTAGAGGAATGTGTAGTTTTTCGTACGCGGAATATATAGGGTTTGTAGTTTGGAAACCCCGAATCCAAGTGTAACGGTATAGCGGGTTCAAAATAATTCGGGAATTAGGGACGTTTTTGAAAACCGAATTATACCCTTCCTTTGAGCATAAAATTAGAAGAAGACGTAATTTTCTACCGAATGAGTAAAAAATGAATATTTCTATGCGCGTTTTCCATGAAATATAATTGAACTTTTGGGGGCATCGAAAATCAATGAGAAAAATGCATGCCACTTAAGTAGTCATTTTTTACAGAGTGTGGTTTTTGTATGCAGCCGGAAGGAAGTTCTTTCGAAAGCCGGCATTTTGGGGTAACTGAAATATTATAGAATTGTGTTGCAGGCTGACCAGTTTTACAACCCTATTTAATTAATCTTTTAGAAACGGAAACGCATTTCGGAATTTCGGTCGACATTTCATGAGTTAGCCCACCTACTGTAGGGCACGGTTAATCTGGAGCAGCCGAAGCTTAACATGGACCTGACAATCGGCAGCCGGAACTTAATCAACCGCGAAGTCGACCTGTTTGCCGGCACCTCGACAAAAGCAGACACCCAAAATGACGACGGAAGAGGCGAACAAAACACAGGGAGGGATGCATCTCACTTTTGGCCAAAAAGGTAAACCGGCTGGACCCCCTTGGCAGTGACCAGACGCGGCCCCGTGCAGATGACCAGACTTCGACCGGGACACCAGTCTTCATCCTCGCCGACAGAGTCCACTGCGGCCGAGTCGAAAAAGAGGGGCAGTGCATAGACAGATTCATCATCACCCGGGCTGGTAACCGTAAAGACGTTATGCTTCGGATGCCAGCCCAGTCGCCCAAGCAAGACGAACCTATCCGTCGGCCGGGCACCTACTGGTTCGAGGAGATGAATAGTAGTAGGCTGATCAAGCTCGCCGTTCCACTTCGCTTGGTCTCCCTTTTCAGAAACGTCCGGTGGCCAGAGGCTGTAAAAGGCACAGGTAACCATTAGCAGTGATGAGCATGATGATTGTCAACAGTCCCAACTGGCAGGTCGAACCTGAGGAAAATGCAAGAAATACGAGCAGCAGCAGCAGCAGCAGCAACGTAGCACAGACTCCACTGATCACAGCAGATGAAGATAGGACTGGTTTATGTGGTCCCCTAAACAGGTCATAGGAGTAGGAACCACCTGCACTACGCGTAGGTTGGAGCCGAATTCCAGTGAAGTTAGGGTCAGGTTTAAGGTTGGGGTAAGGGTTAGCCTAAGGATTTGGTTTAAGTCCAGGTGTAAAGGTAGTGGTAAGGTTAGTCAGGACCAAGTTTAGGGTTAAGATGGGGATAGTTCAGAAGACGAAGATGCGATCACTGGAATAAGAAATTTATTGGCCTGACGTTTCGGATTCTCACTCGAATCCATCACCAGAGACAGTCCCAGATAAAAGTGATGGTGGCACAAGGAGTGCTGTATTTATAGCACGTGGCTGCCGTGGGACCACATGCGCACTGTAATTAACAGTTCTCGCAATCACCACTGGGGTCGTAATTGATGTGGTGGTGGCTTGTCAGTTCAAGTTTGAGTCGTTAATTGCCGTAATTTCGTCATCCGTGCTGGATGCTGGCGCGACGATTGCTCGGTAAATTGGCTCACTGTCACTGGGATAATTGCTCGCCCGCGCCCTCCCCACATGACTGATTCCCTGCCCAGGGAAAATCTCAGCATGGAATATGGTTCCGGAAGGTCATTGCGCTTGTTGATGGATTGCGGGCCTGAAAGCCATGACTTGAGCAGCTCGCGACTCACGCGGTTGTCACCCCTTGCAAGGATTTCGGCCTCTTGCAATTTGAAAATATGGCCGGGTCCCGTCGAACGTGCCGCCACCCGAGAGCTAGCGTCTCCCCTCCCCACTGCTGTTGCGTGCTCGGCAATTCGCATACGGAGTAATCTCCCAGTTTCTCCGACGCAGCTGCTTTGTTCGCAACTGCACCAGATCCGGTAAACGACTCCAAACGTTGCCTGCTGTGGCAGTGGGTCTTTCGGCCTCATGACTTGGCGCCTAATGGTTGCTTTCGGCCTGTGTGCAACCCCAACTCCAAGTGGAGTGAGAAGACGACTGACAGGCTTCCGAGACGTTCTTCACGTACGGAAGAGCCCGCCAAAATGCGGGGCCGGTTGGATTTGGTCTCCGGTGTCGTTTTCGTATGCAATGGTTGACAAAGTTGCGCGGGTAACCATTGGCTCGCATCACCCGTCGAAAATATTGTAATTCAGCAACCTTGTCTTCCATTTCATTGCAGTGCGTCTCAACGCGCCGGTATAGCGCCCTTACGCAACTGCGTTTGTAGGAGATAGTGTTAACTGCAGAGTTATGATATAGGGTAGGGTTAGGGTCAAGATTAGCGCAACGGTCTAGGTTACGGTGATATTTTGCCCTCCCCGGAATTGTGTGCAGGTCTACCTTTATAACTTGGGCGGTGCGTTCCTATTCACATGTCCTGTTAAGAGGGCCATATAAGTCAGTCCTACCCAGGTGAGAACTCCGAAGGCTGGCTTCGACACGACGGAATACTCACTATCCAAAGGGTCTTCTTTAATTAACTAACGGGGCACCTACCTTACGTCCCTAAAAGCCCTTCTGAGGCATATGCAAGTGTGCTAACTGTTAACTGGCCTTACGTGAGACCGAAATATTTGCAGCTGCAATCACACACAACTTAATGAGCAAAGGTGGCACAGAGTCACAGGACATTCTTAGTCGATTAACCCGAGATGGTTAAGCATAATAAGAGTAAGATGAATTTCTCCGAGTATCAGATAAGAGAGTTGGAAAAGTCAGGTGGAGACGACATCCAGTGCTCGCAGAAAATAGTGGAGGGGCCGACACCAGATCACGTGCCCGGCGTAAAACGCTGCCGCACGGACGCGTCTGCAGGGCCGAAGTCAACTCGCACGGGCGGCAACGACTGATAAATGGTAGGGGACGCTCACCGCTCGTTCTTACGGAACTCACTCGTTCCGTTGTGCCTTACGGGCTCCCTCTCGAGCCCAACTGGCAGTCGCACAGCGGCACATGATATAGGCAGAGAGAGAGAGAACCCGTAAGACACAACGGAACGAGTGAGTTCCGTCAGAACGATCAGTGAGCGCCTCCCCTACCATTGTGTATTCCCGATCGAAACCGACAGGGCAACGGGCTCGTGGCCCAGTGGTTAGAGGCGTGAGCTTCTAACTAACAGGTCGCGAGTTCGAGCCTCGGGTGTTCCACACTTCGAGGTTGGGTATGACTGGCTGACGACGGCTAACAAGCCAGAAATGGCCATTACCGGACTCCCTTGTCTTTGTCGGTAATAACCTACCGACTGATCAGTCCGTCGGCCGTCGAAAGGGAGTCCAAGAAGCTCGCCGACTTGGCTACTATTGCTACGGCCGATGAGGGGACGAAGGTCACTCCAGCCAGTGCAGAGGTCAAAGCTAGTCATCAGCAAACGGGTAAGTCAAAATTCGTGAATCGAGCACTAACGTAATAAGAGACAGGGAACTATGCTGAACACGTCGTTGGCAACAGGAACGAACACCGCACTGCTCCGATCATAGGCACGAGGAAGGTTCCGAGACGCCAGGTCAAATACATTTCGGTCTATAAACTTGTTTCCTCCTCGCCTTCCTCCGGGGATGATGACGGGAAAGGAGCTCTATTTCGCAAATTTCCGACGCTGGTTCCCTGGGTGCTCGTCAGATGCAGACGGGGAGCAAATGTGCCAAAACCAGTTAACATCTTACGTGCACTTCAAAATTGACAATGACTTGGTGTTTGTGTCGGTGAGCGGCCGCCGTGTGTGTCATTCTATTCCGATCGGCTCTCGTCTCTTCCATTCCTCATTGAAACTCTTGTACGCGGCATGCAAATTTGCATGTCGGTTGATGCACGATTCACCCGGGCGCATGGCCTCGAGGAACTTTTGGCGGTTCTTGAAGGGGTGGACACAGACAATGAGTTCCGTCCCAAGCGCTGTGCCCGGGGTCCAGGATGTGCATGGTGACTTCGGACACGTGGTCTCGCCTCTTTACTGACAAATAATGTTCGTGAATGGGTGGAGGCGGACTTTCCGGTCTGACCACGGTAAACGGTATTATATGCATCACAAGTGATCTTACAGGCGACTTATTGCCCAAATAGTCAACCCTACCCTTAGAGTATACAAGCCCAGTGCGTAAAGTAGTTGTCAGCTTGTGAGCCACTTGAATTTGGTGATTTCATAGGGCCCCTTAAAAGAGTTTGAATAAGTTTTTAGTGTAAAGAAGGGTTCGCCAAGTATTTGGTTTCGTTGTCTGATTGGACTTACCTGGTTCCTTTTCCTTCGACTCTTGGCATTTATTTTGCAGACCTGGACACACCCTGGACGATGCTGGTTTTCTCCCAGGCGAATGTGTCCTACGTTCAGTCTGTACACAGCTACCTGGGATAAGTGGTCTCGTTTATTCACCGCTAACTGTTGTTCATGTATGCGGGTGGAGGGGGATTCCCCGTTTTGACTACAACAAAGTGTATCACCACGACTATCCGGTATTTTGTTGAAGAGTTGCTTTCTAGAGTTGCGAAAATTTACATTTAAAAATTCAAAGGACAAATCTGCTTTCGATAAATTCCCTTCAGGCCTGTACATTGATACTGCTATTGAACTAATGAAGAAAAAGATGTGGGAGAGCAGGTAACTGTGCTGTAACTCGGGTTTGGGGGGGGGAGTGAAACACAAATTCCGGTCAACATCAGGGAGAAAATGGGCCCCGGGAAAGGTAATTATATGCGCCTGGCTGGCTTGGTGGCTTCGGCCCATGACAACTGTGGGATCTGTATGAAGTTCTTCTCTGCCCACAGGACCGGTTTGCGTAGCCTGATTACATCCGCCTCTGCTGTGGCCAACAGACGCTGCCAAAGTAGTTTTGGACAGCTTGGTGGAACCCTGTAAATCACTCGGAAGGCCTCTCTCGGCAACGGTAGGGTGAAAGAACCCAAGCAGCTGCCGCCAGCCTGAGGATTCCGTCATGGAAACGATGCTGACAGCACATGGTTCAAGGTGAGAACCGGAATGATACCGATCGCTTCTCAAGTCTCTGAGCCAAGGTGCTGGAGAGCGATATCTGGCCAACGGTAAGAGGTTGACGTGGCGTTGCATTAATGCCAGTCAGCTAATTCCGCTCGTAGGTAGAAGAAGCTGACATAGGCATTGCGACCGAACCAGGTTTCCACTCCTCAGTACATAATGAAAGCGGAATGATACCGATCGCTTCTCGACTCCCTGAACCAAGGTCATGAGTGTCGTTTACCGGACAAAAGTTGCAACGTTCTGAATGTCAGCCAGGAGTCGGTACTCATACTTGTGCGTGGAGGCAGTCTGATGCCTGTTGTCGTATTTGTCTGAAATGTAACTTTTGGTTTTCATAAAACCTAAATTAATCTAAACTGAAAGGCAAGAACGGCCTGAAAATGGGGACTGATGAAATGCGCGGCTGCTTGCGGACTGTAGCAGAAAGTTCTGAGAACCTATTCATTGGACTCGCTGACTAAAAGCTTACTTAATTCAGCTCCATTTTAATAAAATTACCTATCTCAAGTTCGACACCCAAAATGGATTGAGCAATCAACGTAGTGTGCATTCCGAGATGACTTAGTGAATAAGAGAATGAGAGTTGGACGCCTATCCTTACGAGAAGTTGGGAAAAGTTCTCTGAGGTTGGCGGCGACTTTCCAACCGGAGAACCGGAGTCGAAAGTTTACGAAATAAAGTCTGTTAAATTTCTCAAACGACTAACTGGCACAATTAATCGAACAATAGACCTGCATCCCACCCAATTATCGATCCACAGGCCCGTCGTCCCGTCGGTTGCGTTCATCGGTCGCCGGGGATGAAGTAGGAGTGAGTTCTTTGGCCGACTTGTATTTGTGCTGGCGTTTCGAAACCCTCTTCGTCTCCATGATCAGAGCGATGAGGTAGCTGTAGCTACCACTGCCTCGTCACATGGCATGCTCTGGCGCTGCTGATCGGGCATTTATTAATACATGATGAAACAGCTGGTGTTCGCTGCTCACACCATGGGGTTGGGCAGACCTCAATAGTTGCGACTGGGAGTACAGTAGATGACCTAACTCATGAAATGTCGAGACCGGACGGCATATATTTGATGTGGTTATTTTTGTTTTTAGAATTGATTAGAATCCCCAAAAGCCCTTTTCTAAAGAAGACGTCATGTTAGTTCAGTTTTATTGAGAGGAAACGGACCAAAATTAAGAAAATTTTGACGTCTCCGGATATTCACTTAATTTCCTATTCTAATAAGTATCCCCTATGAAAACCTCTTATTTGCACGCGTTGCGTTATAAAGAAACTTTCATATAACAAAGAGAAATATCAAAGGAGGCCACTCGGGGAACGGAAATTGTGATTTTTGGTTCATGAAAATCAGGTCGAGTTAGGTATGTAAAAGCACATTATTCTCATGAATCAAGAAGTAATCAGCTCTTCCTAAATTCTATTTAGCAAAACGGTAACGTCTTATATCGTAAAACGCAGTAATAAGCTTGTTCGACTGTGTTTGTTTTACTACACCGGGAACTAGTAGGCGTAAACACGTATATATAGATTGCGCGCTACATGCTTCGCCACGCCGTGCAGCAAAGATGTCAAAACAGTTCCTATCGGAGGTCGATTTTGAGCGAATACGAAAATTGGCAGCCGAAGGGCTGCCACGTGAGTCGTTAGCTAGTATTTTCAACATTAGCCAGGTTACTCTCTGGAAAATTATTAATAATAAAACAATGCCTAGAACTAAGCAAGGTGGGCCAAAACGGTCCACAAGCAAGCAAGACGACGATTGCATTCGTCGGACACTGAAAAAGTATCATTATATGCCCCTTATGGCTATTTACGGGGAACACCTGTCAATGTTTCCTATGCGCATAATTAGAAGAAGAACGACAAAGCCAGTTTTAAGTAGAAAACTTATTAGAGCACGTTTTTTGTTTGCTCAAAAATATATTGATCAAAGACTTTTCCTCTGGAAGAGCATTTACTTTTGTGATGAGGTCTTATTTTTAGACAAGCCTCCGAAGTCGGCCCGGGTGGTCATATGTGGGAAGAACTTTTCACGAGAGCACACTATGTCGACGCCAACTTTCAAGGACTGCCGACGCCTGATGGTTTGGATGGTCATCAAATTCGGACAGCGACCGATCTGGCGTCCAACAGTGGAGACGATAAATAGCAAGGCGTTCATCGACATCGTAAAGCATGCCTTCGGTTACAACGGCATTTATAGACGTCGAATGGACACTGTAATGTTGCAGGATAATGCCCCTGTCCATCGCTCAAAGGAGGTATGATTCCAATTCATTTTACGACTATAATCTAATATTGTGGACCACAGCCAGCCTCTTTGCCTGCCGCCTTCGAAGCATTTTTATCCCCGCGAACAGCCCGGACCTAAATCCCATCGAAAATCGTTGTGCCCTAATCAGAAGAGATTGGGACAAGGCAAGGAAACATTTCTATGGGACAGAAGTTACAATTTTTGCTCAATAATTACATAGACTAAACCACCATAGACAACTTGGTAGTCTCCACGCCCTCCCGCCTTACCGCAACTTTAAAAGCTAAAGGACAATTAACAAAGTACTAACACGTTGTATTTGTTACTGTTTTCCATTTTTTTGTCGTTTTGTGCAATTTCCCTTCTCTGCTGACAGTTATATTAGACCCTGAATAGTTGGCCTGTCATACAGTCGATTTTTTGCTTTGGAGGTTTTTCCCAAAATAAGTTATTTTTAAGTCAATAAATAATACTTTATAAACCAAAATATGCCTTGTTTTGAAGCTTGGTCGTATATTTAACGCAGTATAACTTTCGTGGATGCAGGGTGGCAGAATCGTGCACCACAACGATTTAAGTTCACAGTTCGTGACATTTCATCAGATATGTCACGAACTGTACATACACGAGTGGCGAACAAAATACTGGCGCATATGGACGTAGGTGTGCCACTGATGAGCATGAGGGCTTCGGAGTATTTCCAACGTAACAATAATACCAAAACTGACCACGTCTCTCGCCAGTCTGAAGGATGTCCCCGGGTCCCGGGGGCTGAGAAGTCGTCGGGAAGGAGGACTCGGTGGGACGCTAATTCGACTCTGTCGTGCTCGTTTGCCAGCTGACCGGTAAAGTGTACGAACTCCACGGCGTACTGCATTCGCCTGAAGGGACCCTCATTGGCTTCTTCGTCCGCTTGTTTGCAAAGTGCCCTAGCGACCGCCACTGCTACCTCAGTGGCAGCTTTGCACTCCTTCATTCGCTGAAGAGAAGACAGGGGAGAGTAAATATTGCATTGAAGTATCACTTATGTGCACTGGCTGTCGCAGATGCGGAAGCAACATCCGGTGGAGCAGTACAAAAGCATTAAACTCATTACAAAGTGCAACCACGAAAAGACCGGAACGGGGGCTCCTCTATGCGGCCGCATCCTATTAGTCGGTAGGCCACGTGCTACCCGGAGATCGCTGAAGTTTCATCGTGGTCACGTCTGAGGGGTTAGTCACTGCACCCTCGTCGCCGGTGTTGATAGTTGGTACGGGGTCCGAGTGCACATTATCGCCTGTCGTACTTGAAAATTGGTACAACGCGCGGGTCGACAACTGCTAGTTCTCCGACCGGAGGTCAGCTGACAAACGCGAGGACCTCCGCTTGGCGCATGTACTGTTGATACGGGCTCTGACCTCCAGTCGGGGTGTTGTTGTTGTTGCTGTTGTTAGTCAAAAACCTAGTCATTTGCTGCGTGGACCAGGGGGTGCGGAGTGGAACGCCAAGGTGCAGGCTCGGCCATGCCACCCACCTGCGCCCCCCCCCCCCATCCGCCTCCGGTCTTCTTGACTCTGTCTTGACATCGGGTCCAGGTGGGGAGGAGAGTGCGATAGATGCTTCGCAAGTCGCCGTGCCTGCCGCACATTGGTGTCTAGCACACGGTGAACATCGTCGAAATCGACGGTCGAACTGTCAGTGTTGATACTGTCTGGGTAGAGTAATTGTGTACGTCAGAGGGGGCAAGGGTATATCTCTTAAACAGAACAGGCGGAAGAACATGGCAATGGGTACCCCCTGTATGACCGGTGGGCATGAGCTAAATTCCAGGAGAGGGGGGCTAGGGATATGAGTGCTGGGGTTAAATTCAAAACACGGGAAGAGGCACAGCCTGGAATTTATCGTAAGCCACCTGTAGTACGGGGGTACCTACTTCCGTCCTCAGTCGGGGAGGCGCATTTGTGGTCTGACATTCCAAGCAGAGATTTGGACTACCAGAAATCGAGGAGGATAACAGTTCGGTCAACCAATTATTTCCGCGAGCACAGATGGGGAGTGACAATGACTATGGGTTGGACAGAGGCCGATGGCCTGCACAGACTGCAATGTAGGGCGGCAAGCGTGACATGCACAACTTGTAATGCGAACACTCGACACTCGAGTCTCCGGATGCAGACAGCCGAATTCGCTAATCCAATCCTAAAATTTATACGGAAAAGACGGACATTGGAATGGCCATTTACGGTTTCAAAAGGCAATTTGGCGGGCATACGTCTGCTTTCGGTAAATTCTCTTCAGGCCTGTACATTTATATGGCTATTGAAGTAATGAAAAAGATACGGGCAAGTAGATAATTAAGCTGTAGTTCGGGTTTGGGGAGGGGGAGAGTGAAACATCACAATTCCAGTCAGCGCCAGAGAGGTGGGTCCCGACGAAGGTAATAACATGCGGGTAGCTGGCTTGGTGGCTTTGAACCATGGCAACTGTGGGACCTGTATGAAGTTCTTCTGTGCGCATAAGACCGGTCCGCGTAGCCTGATTGCAGCCGCCTCTGCCGTAGCCGACAGGCGCTGCCCAAGTAGTTCTGCATAGCGTGATGGGACCTTGTAAATAACTCTGAAGGCCTCTCTGGCGTCTACACGGTGGTCTGTGTCCACCATGTGCGCGAGGATCGAGCTGTTGATGTTCTTTATTTAACCATCCATTTACGTTGTTAGCCGACAACAGCCAGCGATACGCAGGCTGTGCGCGGCTTGAAGCCGGTGGCGTTGATGGTCTAGGAACGCCCACACCTCCGAGCTGTGAGCTCAGGTTGCGTTGGCTGAGGTGAGGGATATGCAGTCACCTGGGAGTGTCATCCCCGAAATCCATCTCAACTATAAGGTTGGGGTGAGCATCTCCGTTTCGCTTTGCAGTGCAGGCGTGCGTGCGCAACGCGACCAGCCTTTAATAACGAAGGTGTTATCAACAAAGGTGGACACTAAACTGGCCACATTGACTTACTTGCTGTCATCAGTGAGTGGCGCTCAGGTATTCCTCTCGTTGTCGGCAAACTCTCCCAACTGCGTAGGGCAAAGTCGAAATGTCCATTTTCCTCCCGCAATCGGGACAGATCAGTGACACCTGCCACTCTCGCGTGACTACTAGACATGACAGAGCGCAGATATACTTTGCGCTGTTCACCGACGCACTTAGGCACCGCTCCTTCAATACCGTTGAAGTGATTGGCCGAGCTTGCGAGGTTTACGGAGTGAGGTAACTATCCTGTTCGCAATAGACTACCATAAGGGTTACCATGGGCACTAGAACGTAGCAAAACTGTCGCCGAAAACACCCTTCCAAAGGCTGATTTCGTGTCCGGATCTTACTTTACAGGGACCGCCTACGCCTCAGCATATGCAGTAATTCGACAGCTTATTTTGATGCTTTTTAATTTCCTCAGAAATTAACTGCTGCGCCATGTACAGTGAGTGACCTATCTCATGTAATGTTGGCTGAAATTCTGAAATGCGTTTTCGATTAGGAAGGATTACTTGGTCGCGGTTGTAATATTGACTATCTTGCGGCATACTCTTATAACATTTCGGACTCGGCAGGATGTCGGCTTTTAAATGCACTTCTTTTTAATCTTCTGTAGAAAGCGTGTTCGGTAAAAAAATGATTACTTATGTAGCATGCATTTTTCCCATTGATTTTCGATGGTCTTGCAAATTCTAATATATTTTATAAAAACTATAAATAAAAATATGCTTTCTTTTAGTCAATCAATAGAAAATCATGTCTTCTTTATATTTTATACTTAAGGAAGGAGTATAATTAGGTTTTAAAAAAGTTTTCCAATTGCCGAATAATTTGGAGCCTGATTATTCGTCGCATTAGCGCTTAGTAATTTCAGTCTGCAAGGTGCATGCGTTCCGCGTAAAGAAAATCACATATTTTTCTATGCCGTTAAAGAGATATCATACAGAGTCCATAAAAGTTTGTAATGGATGCGGACCATGTTGTTCATTTCATGTAGAGCAGTGATAAACGGCCAGATACGATGCTATGTGAATTGACATTTCGCGGTCTTAAAAAGTCTCATAATTAGAAACTTTTTAAAAACCTAATTATACTCCTTCCTTAAGTATAAAATATAAAAACGACATGATTCTCTATTGATTGACTAAAAGAAAGCATATTTTTATTTATAGTTTCTATAAAATATATTAGAATTTGCAAGACCATCGAAAATCAATGGGAAAAATGCATGCTACTTAAGTAGTCATTTTTTACCGAGTACGCTTTCTACAGGAGATTAAAAAGAAGTGCATTTAAAAGCCGACATCCTGCCGAGTCCGAAATGTTATAAGAGTATGCCGCAAGATAGTCAATATTACAACCGCGACCAAGTAATCCTTCCTAATCGAAAACGCATTTCAGAATTTCAGCCAACATTACATGAGATAGGTCACTCACTGTAGCGACAGAGTATCGGCAAAAAACGCGTCTGGGTTTTTAGCTGGTACCTGTGCTGTTAGTATGGTATGCTGCAACCCAATCTTATTTTGAATTTAATTCACAAGAACACACTGCTTGTTTATTTCAACACACGGAAGGACTCCGCCTCAAGGGCCTTTGCATAACAGCGGCTTAAGGCACGGTCAGAGGTCAGGTAAGGTATCAAGCGAGGGAATTTGCAAAAGAAAAGATTGGTTTGTCCACTATTTTGGAAAGATTGGCCCCCTCCCAGAGCAGGAAGTAAAACGCAGAGGACATCGATAGCACTCGAGTTATGTTCTCTGAATTCGTTTTACCGATCGGCTTTCCAAAAACCAGCTAAAACGTCCCCCAGCTGCGAATTTTCCGTCCCCTTACTAAGATACTTCGGTTGTGCACTGCGCCAGCTTAAAGGCGATATTGCCCGACATGTTAGCTCGGCCGAACCTAGTTTTGGCTAGCGACATCGTCGAGATGGATGTAAGTAGCGTCGACCTTGACCGCAGCTCATAGCCTGCATGGTTAACATCAAAGCCGGTTCTACCTTACGCTGAAATGCGACCAGTCGGAACGCGGTTAACCTACAACAGGGAGGCTGAGGAACCAAGCAGGAGGGCAGACATGTCGCCTAACTTGACGTAACGTGCGCAACTATGAAAGCATAAAATGAAGCAAAACATGGGCATCTCCACTAAAAAAGAGCGGAGAGGACGTCCATCTCAACGCAACTTTCGCTAATTAGGTCAGAAATGCATGAAATGGTGGGGGTAAGGCTGTAGGTAATAGGGTCCTTCAAGAACGAATAAACGAATAAATAAAGCTTGCAAAAAGTGCTTGATTGAAGAGAATTTGGGTGGCCGAGAAAATTGCAGTTGGCGTGGTGTCATCTGAGCAAGAAATTGCAAAAACCTGGGAGACTACCCAACAAGATCGAAAGAACCAGATTTCGCAGGAGCTGCCCGAGGGTGACGTCATAATTTGCTACCCCGTACTGCAGACAGAGTCATATAAAACTGATATCCTCTCTAAAAACGCAATAATTATTCTTCTTTTTCACAGGAGTATTGATTGCAAGTCAAATGGCCAAGATCCACAATTAGATACACTGACCTCTCTGAGAAGAAGTTGAAGGTCAATGAACCAGGCTCTATCTCTCCAGCTGAAACTCCACAGCCGCGTATGCAACATGGGTAGTTCTAGATGCGCATTTCCAGACAGGTCATCGTCTGCTCCGCTCCTGACGTTTCGTCGGAGAATCGTCGATAAGATGGTAGGGACCAGCAGTTCGCCAAAGCGATCAACTCGTGAGGGACCCGCCCGCCAAACATTCAGCATCTCCACTTGGTCGCCAACAGCTATGCGTTCTGAGGGGACGCAGACTATGAAGGAAGGAGCCCGGTTGTCCAGCGCTCGTGCGAAGAAAAAGTCCGCGTGACAAGCCGTAACGGTGAGGAGAACACGTGGAAGGAGGTCGGGTGGCCATCTGGCGCAAACTCGTCGCCCCTCTTTGAGGACTTCGGCGCGACAATTCAAAGCAATCTCTGATTCAGGATGGACAGCACTTTGTCCAGGCACATAGCAGTGCACTACAGCTTCTGTTGCCTTGGTAAAGAAAGGACAAATAAACCAATGTAATACACACTTCTGTCACTTCTGTTGCAATAGTCGACTAGCAGACGCGGATGGTTCGACCTGGACAACCCACCAAGAAAGAGTATGACCAATCGAGTTTGGATCGCGCGTTCAACTCAATATTTAAAAAGCGTGCTTCTAAACTATCACAGCGCGCTAACAGTCATGATCTGGAGAGTAACCAACCAATGGGGTAACTCGGCCTTACCCGGACCGACTTTCAGGCTGCCTTGGCTCTTTATAGCTTCGCCTTTATGGCGCGGTCTCACCTGCCCGAGATTAGAGACCACTGCTGCTTTTGCTTCAAACAAGGGTGCTGGCGCACCTATCTCTCTCAAGTTCCACAGGGCTCATTAGACGTTGGGTTTACAAACAGAGGCCTCGAACAGCAGGTGACCAGGAATCTGGCTGTTTGGCAGCAACTGACTTCGGTCAACTTTAAGTGAAGTACAACATTGGCACACTACGCCGCCAACAGCTCGAGCCCGACATTGTGCGCAGTGAGAAGCGGTGTGGTTCGCGCTAATTCCCATTGCGTGGCATTCTTTGCATGTAGCAGTAAGCAAAACAGCTATAACGATTTCATCTAGGTGATGTGTACTGACGGGTGTACCAGTGGTTGCACGTCAGCGCTCGCGGCATCTCAGGGGCATCGGCAGCCCAATCGTGCTTGGACTTCTGCTTGTGGCTGGCAGCCGCAGTAGGCAGGACCCGCACGACCACCGCCTCATACAAATGCAACATGAACGCACAAGTCCGACTACCAGGTAACAGGCGTCCACCATAAACTAGTATGCCCGCGCAGTCAGGTCTCGCTAACGTGTGTGGATCAATACTAAATTAAGTAGGAAGAGTGCGAAAAATAAACCTGTAAGCCGTGAGTAACAGTGGCTAATTGGACAAGTCAAAGTGCCGACGACAAGAAAATACAACTTCGAGGTCAGATTGCACACCAGAATACAAGTAGTCAGTCGTCATCCTGGTCGGACTATGCGTTCTTCCTAGTAGATAGAGGAGTGGTATTTAGTACCAGATACCCCCTGCCAAGTAACGAAGACTATGTACTGAGGCCAGCTCCTGCTCAGTTGTCCGACGTGAATAAAGGATGGACTCGCACACGCACCCAGGCCGCAGCAGACGCAAGCCGAAGATTGGATATCAACCAGTACCAACCGATAGAGGATTCACGCCAAATCAAATCGTCAGGAATCTGGTCTTTAGAACATCCCGCCTTACAGGTCCGTGACAGCCCACTGAAACCGATCCTGACAGAACACGACACAAGAAATGGGAAGAGTCTCAACTGCCAATGTCATAGAAAAGCTTTATTAGCTTCTTTGACATTATTTGAGAGGAAATCCAGTGGTCATTGAAACCACCAAAACGAAGACAGACTTCCCTAACACGTCGGTGGATTCGTAATAGTGACGATGGCGAAGGAGATATTTCGATTTGCTCAGCCCTCTACCTCTAGGTACGCCAGGCATGACTTCTAACGCAGTTGTCCTGCAAGGCCCCCCAATGGCTGTTACCGCAAGCGACCTCTGCTGCCGAAATTGGAGTGGCAATCAGGCGTTTTTGAAACAGTAAAGAGGTGGATGAAGATGAAATCCCGGGTGATGTCGGTAAAAGCTGCTCTGGTGTTTTTTTCCTGGGTGGCCAGATAAGATAGCTCGACAAGCGCAGGAAAACGAAAATGCCAACAAGACTAAGGCGTGTTGATCTGCCAAAGTTAAAACTATAGAGGTATCGGCTTAGTGGACTCCGTCATAAAAGTTTTCTTGGGTATCTTCTTCAGTCGTTCTCATTTCATTATGGACGTTAGGGTAAGGGGAAAACAGGGTGGTTTTCGTCCTGACAAGCAATTACTCGACCAGCAACGGATCGAGGAACAACGCCCCTGTTTTTAACAGATGAGAACCGACGGTCCCCTTTAATTTGACGCAACGTCTAACACCGTCAACTGAAATGTCCTCCAGAAAGGGGTGGAAAAACGAGTGGGTCCAGGTAAGACAAGTCTTGCAGACGACAGTTCATCACTCAGAGGAAATAAAATTTGTCCTTGGGTGTATGGTCGTCGCATCCCGCAAATTATGCCGCTAACAAGATTAAAGGAGACCTTAATGGCTTTACGACGCAGATAACGCCCCCCACCTTTTCCTGGGTGATATGATGCTTGAAATAGTAAAATGCTTTGTCTATTCCGAGTCCTCTCTACTATGGATTAGATAATGTGAGGAGGAGATACACCACCGCATAAAAAGCGAAAATGAGTCACTCTGTTGACTCTGCAAGGGCCTGTAGTCGCCGCTAGGTTTACCAGAAAGCTCTCAAGGCTTTCGGCGGAGTAGTCCAGCTTGATGCTTAAGATATGTCGCTTGCAAATGCTGCGCACACGCGAGAGACTAAGGTGTATGACAACTACCACCAGCAGGGAGTGCCAAGATTTCGGCCTATGGAACATGTCTAAAGTGCAGTACTCCACCGCCTGGAGAGACATCTGGCGACGTTGGGATAAAGTGTTGACGTCCTAAACGGTTCGTCTGCGCACTCTTCTGACCCGAAAGGAAGTTAAACTCCGACGTCTTCTCTCCAAATCCCTGCCCAAGCTCGCATCACCGCGTGATGGTTAAACAAAAAGTGGACACGTGCTCAAGTTCGACTTAGAGAGGATATTGGATTCATCTGTCTTCGGCGTTAAGGAATACGAGGGCCTAACCAACGGTTGCATAACACGAGTCTTACTGGTCCGGGAAACGTGGGCTCTGGATGCGACTAAACCGTCACTGGTGCTAGCCGTTACAAGTGCAACACAGGACCGAGTAAAGCCCTGTTTGGCAAAGAATTAAGCAAAATATTTTAAAGGTCACTAAAGACAACAAACAAGAATTCACTTTGTCTAAGAAAGCATATGCTTTAATCTCCAGCGGAAGTGAACTGTAAACAAACTGCTACTGATGTGTCGACGGGGAAATCCTACGACTGTCCACTCATTGTTTAAAGGCAAAAAGGGCGTAATGTCTGTAATGCATAGCTTTGCAGATTTTAATCCAGGTATCTACTTAGGGGCCTCGATACGCTTGTGAGGCAGCATTTGAAGAACACCACACAGGCCTGGAGGTCCTAAACAATACAAGGTACAGCGTCTCGAATAAATTTCAACAAGAGTCACTGACACGGCTGGGGGGGGAGGCGAACTTTGTTGGCTAATGCAATCCACCAAATAAACTTTTTATTCTCGCCAAATTAAAGGTAAGTGTGTAGAGACCTTTTACGAGCATTCGTAATCGTAAACTGGTTGGATAGAAACCCGGTCTTTGGGAACTTTTGGAAATGTTCCCGAAACTAGGTTTAGCGGCCACTCACTATGCAACATCTTGTTCAGCAGGAGAGGCAGGACGTGCAGACGCAACATTCTGTAATAATATTAATTACTATTATTTTTGAATGTGGTCTGACCAGACTACGGAATGCTCTCCGTGAAGTCGCGGTGATGTAACCACTTATCAAAAGCCTCAAAATTAAGCTTGGAAATTGCGTGAATACGAACGAGTTTAAGCACTGAAAGACTAAAATTTCCACCCAATACTAATACATGCATTCTAGTGGGGCTTGATTGATCCTTTTTGCTGCTCCGCATGCTACGTTACAAATAGGGTGCTCAGAAGCTCACATGCACTCGTTCTTTAGCAAAACAAAATGAAGCAGGTTGGAGAAAAGATGGTCTTCTCTAACTGAAGGCCTTCAGCATTGTTAGTTGGATTCGCACAGAGTTCTACTTAATTCTATGGTTCTCGTCAACAGAGCCACAAGTCGTCAGGAAAACAAGACATTTTTTATCCTACTCCCCATCAGAGCTACAGCTCCGAAGTCTTGATATTAATGTTTAATCGAATATTAGTATTTAATATTAGTATTAAATAAGTTAAAAATGATTACCTGACCGGAGTAAATTTTGGCTTTGGACAAACCCGTGATTCTTACACGCGAGTTTAATCGCATATGAGATAGAAACCTCGAGCGGTGGGAACAGTCGTTCGTGGGCTCCGAAATACGGCTCCAACTAACTAGGACGTCAATACAGCCACGGCACAAACAGCTTGCCGAGCATGTTATTTTGAAAAAAATGTTTTCCTTGTGCTCAACGGTAAACGCTGCACTCCTGCATTGGATGAAACCGATAACTTCCACATCACAAGGCATATATTGGGGGACCTTAATGACCAACGCGTTGACCGCCAATGTCAGCTGATTGTCTTTTACGACCGTGTTTTAGCCTATTAAAACTCGATATTGTTATTTACTTGAGACGGGTAGTCATGTAGTGGAGTCTAGATTTATTGCTTAGGATATCCCACTTGGACAACTCACGGCTCTCAGCGGAAACTCGTGGTCAGAGCGTTGGCTGCATTCAAGCTCTCACCCCGGCCGCTGAATTTCCTCCAGATGGGCCAAAAAAGTTATTTAAATCTGTCAAAACCCCCTATAAGAACTTGATATGTCTCGTTGAAATTCTATGTTGCCCCATCTGACCTTTTTGAGACACACACGATCGTTCTTTTTGCTTTGCGTGCAATTTAATTTAAACCGTCTTACACTACCCCTCCGTTTTCGTCTTTAGTGGCAGTCAGTATAAGTTGCCCCAATCTGCATATGTCTCCAAAATTCAGGAATACACGCAAGAAGAAATCAAAGAAAAGAAAGAAGTCGACAACAATCAGCCGACCATCAGGACAGGATCAAGTGCAAGACTAAGAAATTACCGCTTGCTTCCCCGAATGTCCCTCATCATTGCTTTATTAGTACTGTGTTGGCATTTGTTTCTGTTCCAACAGGCTCCGCAAATGCAATGCTCTCTCCCTCATAAAGCCATGTTTCCGGCAACCTCAACGCTTATTTCTGACTACTTTAGGGAATCTACAAGATCCAAACATAAACTGTATGGTTCTATTTATCGATCAAATTACCGACTGCAATCACATAACCTGGAAAAGCAACCAAGTAATTCCTGTGCGCCTTTAGAAGTTCAAATAATCAAAGCAAAATGAGACACTAATTTGAAGTTTATTTTGGTCGGTAGCTTGCAGAAATTTGGAGAAGCATTAACCCTAGTATAGAATTTAAGGAGTCCCGGTACAGATAGAAAACGTAATTTTGCGAAGTCCACACTGGGTGGTGAATTCCAATCCAATTGTCTTCTTTGCTTACTAAACCGCAAGGCTGTCTCTATCATGCGAATAAGTGATGGACAATCTCGTCTCATATTTTGTGGAGTGATGTCTTACTCAGAAGCGTTATAAAAGACAAGAGGCTATTTGAAGTATGCCTATCTCATTGCACAAAGAGCCACTGCACTTTATCTAAACTAGGGAGAACGGACCGGCCCCGGTGATTAACAGGAGTTCTAGAAAAAGGAGATTAACAAGGAAGGAAGGCTGTGGAAAAAGTCCTGCAGAAACAACGACAGCGCGTTTTTGGAGAATACAAAATGAATACCCGCACTCCTACTGGAGGGCGGCGCGACAGAGTAGTGTGGCTATCACCAGCAACATCTTAAGACAATATGCCGAACTGAACTAGACACCGCCCCCATGAAGGTGAAAGAACTAGGACGTCACGTGTCTCAACAAGCAGTCGTACTCGGCCATCTGCGCGAAGACGAGAAACGGAAATTCGAGAAATATGTGCAGTCAATTGTGGAAAAAATGTGGGGAAATAACCACAGCCTCCTTTTCTTGGAATACTCACGAAGGGAGACCATAATAGAAGATCCCCGATGATCCAAGTCAGTACGTACACGATTATTCGTTCAAACTTCTTGATAAAACTCGATTGAAGCCACCTCGCTTGATTTTAAGTTTTACTGCCCCCACCAGAAACCTACCATCAAGAATTGAAGACACATTTCGAGAACCTTCTGCATCAAGCGCACAAACTCCAGCCAGTTTAGGTAAACAGCGCGCAATACTTTAAGTCCGCGTTAGTCACCTACTTTGACCAGTGCCTCAACAGTGACCGGAAAAGTCACGTCCTGCTGACGAAGTTACGCATGAAGGAAATAAACAACTCATATGGAACAAATATATTCTACTAACAAGGCCAGATAGCGGAATTGGCATTGTTCTGATGGACAGGGCAGTATACGTTATAAAATACTGTCAATTCTATCGAACCAGGAAAAGTTCAAAAAGGCAGAATAGGAGGAAGATAGTACAAATGAGGTTGAACCACAGCTGATTAGCTGTCTGAAATGGTTTCGAACAGATGGTTTCACAGCCGGTCATGACCTAGAGCGTCTCTGACTCGTCAGCGCGCATATAACAATAATTATACGTTTAAGCTCCCGGAGAACCCTGTGCTGATAAAATTGACGTAAGGAAAGCATTGAAAGGAAGTAGTGGTCTGCGTGAACTGCCGGATGTACGGCAGATTTTTGAAAATGTGTTTTTTTTAAAGTAGGTAACGTTTTCATGTCCGCCGGCGATTTGTTCTTTCACGTGCTATACGCTCAATGGTAACAAAAATATCCACAAATCTCGGATTTACGGTTTTTGAAAAAACTTGCTGATCTACGAGTAAAGCGATTAAAATAGAATAGAATAAGTTTATTATAGCGCCACTTGGGCACTGTCAGTCTCCCTTGAACACAAGAAAAAGCCTAAAACAAACTCATCTTTTTCGACTGCACTTTGACTTCATTTGTTTTGGGTGTCTGTGTAGCCAATAGAGCGCGAATTGACAGTTTGTTTTAAGTTAAAAAACCTGAGCTGCAAGAAAAAATATCCAGCGAGAAAAACCACTTTGCGAAGGGATATGAGGGAGTGGGGTGAGTTTTTTCCGAGATTAAAATAAAACCATAAATGCATCTCGACAAATGAGGAAGAAACACCATTGTAGTGCGACTGTGGATGTCTAATGGTTATTGACCTAGAGAACGACCGACAACTTAACTAAAACCTCAAAACTCCAATGGCTAGAACGGAACCCTGATGAGGAGTATCGGAGGGCGAGACGGTGGTTGACGCCAAATGAAGAACCTTTGATGGGACCCCGACGGGTCTTTAATAAAAATTATATATCTATCTATCTAAATTGCAGGGGAGTAGAATTCTTCGACGTCGTTCTGTTTGCTTATAGGCGAGAACATCTGCATCCCATTGGAGTTTTATCCCGACTAATTAAAGTCCTATTGCCTATATAATATTGAATTGGGCAATAGTGTTGAGAGAAAGTATAATCTACTTCTATCGATGAGAATAGTTCGACTCGAATGGGTAGGTTTTTGTATCCAGACGAAGGTTTCTTGGCTCTAGTGATCTTCAAGTTGAAGCCTCAAGAGTACAGAAAAGGGATGGCAACCACGAGGGGCTACCAACTTATAGGGGCATTTTTCAAAACAAAACCAAAACCACGCTTATGTCTGTCTTCTGCCTAAACACAAACAAGATCGATAAGAGATATGAGTTTCTCACACTGTTGAGAAGAAAGTGTAGTCATTTTGCCTTCAAGAATGGTGTCAAGAACAGAAAAACTGACCCATAGTGAGAAATAAAATGGCCAAAACTTTCATGTGCCTCAAGATCTAGTCATTTAATATTGACGATTGGTTCCAATAAAAGGCCGGAAACTTAATTCCCTTTAAATTTCGACGAAAGGTTGCCTGAGGGGTAAATGAATGAGGAATAGGGGACTCCCTCTCACACTTTTTTGCGAATGGTGTGGATAACGTGGTTGTCGTGTCGAATACCACACCGCAACCACGCCAGATAACCACGTCTGGCCTCGTCATAGCCTACTCTGTCCGCAGTGACAAGACGCAGCCAGTAGAGGCTTTGCTGACAAGCATGTTGGAAAAGAGAAAACAGGAGTTCAGTTCAGTTCAGTTCAGTTTATTTGAGGGAAATATAGGTGTTAAACCTTTGAACTCCCTATTTGTTACAAGGAGGCGAACAATTAAAAAAAAAATCTGAAAATTGAAACATCAAACGGCTACAGAGTTTCTTCAGATTGGCAACGTTTTGTAAGCCAGACAGATAAACGAATTGTTCCAAAAGTTAAAAACATTAACGTTACTAAATGTGCTGTACAGTAGTCTGTCGAGGGCTAGTTGGTGCTATCTCAGTTTCGGAGGGAGACGAATTGAATGCCAACACACATTTAACAGACATGGGACAATATTAAAAAAACAAACGTTACTGAAATATAGGAAGTAATATAACAACATTACTAAACTGTTCGAACGAAATGCTAGACAATCTGTCAGGTGGCATTGTGACGATTGGTGGCAATCTGGTCCAAGTTGCGCTTAAAAGCCTCGACGGAGGTGGACATGACGACACCTGCAGGCAGAGCATTCCAGGCCTCGATCACTCTGTTTGAAAAGAAGAACTTCCGAGTGTCCAGCTTGGCGCCAGTTACTCGTAGTTTAAGTGGATGACCTCGGAGCTTCGTTGTGGTCGCTAACTCAAAGAAATCAGCAGGTACGAGACAGCAGTCCTGGCCGCGCAGTATACGGAATGTTTGTATAAGGTCGCCTCTTAGCTGTCTGTAACTCAGTGGAAAGAGACCGAGATTGGACAATCGGGTTTCATAGGGTAGTGAACCCTGTCCACCTACGAGTTTGGTTGCCCGCCTCTGAACTTTCTCGAGGATGCTGAGATCTTTAGAGGTCCACGGTTTCCACGCCTGAATGGCGAACTCTAGCTGTGGCCGTACGAAAGTCCGAAAGACTTTAACGAAGCAGTCCTCATCGAAGGTAGAGAAAGCTCTCTTGACAAGATAAAGGACTGACATCGCAGACTTGGCTACCTTGGAGCAGTGAAGCGACGGTTTTAGAGAAGCCGTTACCCACACCCCCAAGTCTTTCTGGGCGTCTACCTCCTGCAATGGTACGCCGTTTAGGTGGTAAACCCTCCGGTTCAGAGATCGTGTCCTGCCGACTCGCATGACATTACACTTAGTCACATTAAACGGCAACAGCCAGTCCTGTGACCACTTCTCGAGTCGGGTCAGGTCTGCCTGCAAGCGCTCTTCGTCAAATTCAGTTCGGATGACGCTCCAAAGTTTAACATCATCAGCGAACATGNAATCGTTGGCCCGTCCACTATGTCGCAGTCGGGAGGGAGAAATGCGCTTTCCTTCGTAAAGATGGACTTAAAGAACTGTGAAAGGTGCTCTGCCTTTTCTCCGTCTTCACTGAGTTCTAGGTCGTCACTAGTTTTCAATAACTGATTTTCTGGAGCAATAGTTCCCGAAGCTTCAAATATAGCTTCCAGGAACGATAGAATTCTATTAGTCATATGTATATATATATAGGGCTCCAGGGTTGCTAGCATTTAGAAATTAATCATTTTTGGTGGATTTAAGGATTAAGCTGTGTATGGCGAAATTTTCGATCGTTAGCAGTGTTGGCAGACCGGACAGCAGATCCGTCGGCTTCATAACGTTTCCTGAATAATAATTTGGACGTATAAAAAGTGGACAACTGACAATTTTGCACGTGACAGAACAAAGGAGTGAAGCAAAGTTGCTTAGAGTTTGGAGAACTCCTATTTCTTAGGCATGCATATTTAGGGCTTTTTGGTTGTGTTGGTATGCTTAATGAGGCCTTTTGGTTTGTATGTCTTGTTTAGCGGTCAATTTCTACTATTGGTTGATCGTCTTGGGCGTCAGAGTGGCACGTATAGCGTTATCCAATGGCGTTACGTGACTGAGCCCGAGATCGGCACCTTCGTTCTGTTTTGGTTGAGTGTTGGTGTCTTGCTAAGTCTGCTTTGTTTGTTTCCGCCAGCCTAGATGCTTTTACAGCAACGCGTGTTAGAGTCGGAAGTACCTACGTTACAAAAGCCGCTTTACCGAAGCAAACGCAGTTTCTGATTTCATCACACAATGCGCTGTACAAGAGGAATATCCGCGAGAATACTAGAGAGCTCTTCGTAGGAATCGGAGGATTATCTCCGACAGCTTTAAAGAGATATGCAGAGAATCAACTCAAAAGCGTCACTATGAACATCAGCGAGTTATATCGTAACCTGCACCAAGGCATCATGGCATCAGACGAGTTAGCCGAAGGAGAACGACGACAATTTAGAAGCTTTGCCGAGACAACGACCGAAAGACGGATGGAATTAAGGTGGATAAAGCTTTTTCGCGGCGCCAACCCGATGTACGCACAAGCAACTTCCCAAATGCTTCGGAGGGATACGTAAATAACTTCACCAACTTGACGCTGGACAAATACTTGGTTGAAGTACTATCCGTAGGCCACAACTTTCATTTCCCTGATCAAAAACCAAACAGATGAAAGGCAAAATTTCGATTCGTAAACCTGTTGAGTCACACGGGTGAGATTGCACCTACAACGCCAGAGAAAGGGGGTATTTAAAACCAACACTCGTTAATAGCTGCTGCCAATACTCTAGAGCAAAGCCTCTAAGAATCGGGTTTATCACGAAAGGACCTGGATGCCAAATTTATCGGAGGGACAGGGAACATCGTCAGGGTAGTGGCATAGTTGTGTATGTAAATGAGGGCCTGGCAGTGTCGGAAAACATCAACAAATTTGCGTGCGGCACGGAAGCTATTTGGTTGACCATCAAGGCCACCGGTTCCCCGTGTCTCAATGTCCTCACTGTCTACCGACCACCTAGGAGAGACCAAATCGCCGACACTCAACTATTGGAGCAGTTGGAGAAATTTTCCAGTCGACCTAACATCATGATCATGGGCAACTTCAACGCACCAGGAACAAACTGGAATGCCCTCCAAGTGTCAGGTCCAAAATCGGCGTTCGATTACCGTCTGCTGAACAAAACATTAAAGACGTCCCTCACACAACATGTAATGTTGCCAACGAGAACACGTGAAGGACAAGGGGCAAACTGCCTGGATCTGGTTTTTACGAAAACACCAGACAGCATGGACGAGATCACCTCCATGCCGCCCTTGGTCGAAGTGATCACGTAGTGCTTATGTGGGATTATTCGTTATTCTCAATTTCACATACTCCAAACCAAAATGACGGAATGTTTGGCAAGGCGACTTCAATCGGATGAGGGCAGACTTATCCTGTCTCGACTGGGGCTCATTGTTTACGGGAAATGCCAACGACGACTGGGAACTGTTCAAAAATGTCCTTCTGCAGCTCATCAACAACCACTGCCCACTGACTAGTGTAAGACTGAACAAATGCTCTGGGTGGCTAAATAGCAACCTTAGGGAAGCACAAATTGTGGAGAAAATACTGCGTCACTAGGCAAGTTGAATATTTCAACACCTACGAGTCACAGAGAAACAAACTGAGGAACCTGATCATAAAGACGCGGCGGGAATTCGAGAAGAACTTGCTACAAAAAGCAACGCAGAACCCACAAATACTTTACAGTTACCTCCGACGAAGTACAAGGAACAGGCATCAAATCCCCTTAATAAGGACTACTGATGACGTTGAGATTGCTGATAGTAGGAATAAATCTACGTATTTTTCACAGTTCTTCCAATCAGTCTACACAAACGAGGCAAGGTTCTTTCCTCCCTCCACAAAAGAACTGCCGACCCCAAGCGTCAGTGATATACTCTTCTCAGAAGGCCTTGTCCGAGGAGAATTAGACGCATTGAAGGAATCGAAGTCGCCCGGACCAGACGAGATTCCACCCAAGCTTCTCAAGGAACTTGCCAGTGAGCTTTCTGTGCCTTTGTCAATGATCTTTCAAACGTCATTTGACACTGGAACACTTCCTAACGATTGGAAGCTGTCGCATATTACTCCGCTACATAAAGGAGGTAGAAGGGCAGCGACGACAAATTACATGTCTTTAAGCTTGACATGTATCCTCTTCAAAGTTATGGAATAGATCATGAAGAGTGAACTGATGCATTTCCTGGAAGTTCACGGCCTGCTATCGAAATGCCAATAGGGGTTCCGGAAAGGAAGATCCTGCACGACAAACTTGCTTCAATCTCTGCAGAGCTGGACCCGAGCTCTCGATGACAGGCACGCGGTCCACATAGCCCTCATCGACTTCCAGAAGGCGTTCGACACTGTGCCACACCAAAGGTTCTTATACAAGCTGAAAAAAATAGGGATCGGTGGCAACTTCCTTAAATGGATCGAAAACTTCCTTGTGGGTCGACACCAGGTTGTCTGCATCGGTCGGGGAAAATCAGATTCTGCTATGGTCGAGAGTGGTGTCCCCCAGGGTTCAGTGCTGGGACCCATTTTGTCCCTCGTCTACGTGGACGATGCCGCAAGAGCTTTAGACTGCGAAGTAGCAATGTTTGTCGATGGCATGAAGATATGGAGTGTAATTGAGGGTCCTGCCGACGAAGACAGACTGAAAATGAACCTGAATCGATTGGAGGACTGGTCAAACCGTTGGCTCATGCGGTTCAACGATGCCAAATGTAACATACTTCGCCTAGGCAAGACAGCCAGATCCGCCAGCACAAGAAACTACTTTCTGGGCGGTGCAGCCCTACAAGAGGTCAAAGCCCAAAATGACCTCGGTGTGCTGACGACGATTTCCCTAAAGCCATTCGCCCACTGTTCGAGAGTGGCAAAAACCGCAGCGTCCGTACTATGCGCTATCAAGCGTGCGTTTGTCGACTTTGACGAAGAAGCTTTCTCAAAGACATTCGGAACATTCGTCCGGCCGCATTTAGAGTACGGCATACAATCCTGGAGACCGCGGGCGGTTGAGGATCAAAACTGCCTCAAAAGAGTTCAGATGAGAGCCACGAAGATGGTTAGGGTTCAAAGTTCCTTTCCTTATGCAACTTGCCTAGTAAATCTGAACCTCTTTCCTTTGTGTTACAGGCAACTTCCCGGGGATTTCTTGCAAGCCTTCCGCATTGTAAAGGGTTCGGATTGCAGTCTGGCCTTAGAGGACTTTTTCGAATCTCCTTCCACGACCAACCTCCGAGGTCACCCACTAAAACTGCGCACTCAGCAGGCAGTGCTGGATGTGCGGAAGTTCTCCTTCTCTGTTCGAGTGGTCAAACCATGGAATGCCCTTTCCACAGATGTTTTGATGTTACCATCACTACAAGGTTTTAAAAAGTATCTCGACATATTTATGTTCCGAAATAACCAAGAGCGATGAGAAGTAGAGCTCACACTCTCTAAATCGTTTTCATTTTGTCCTCTCATTATGGACATGTTTGAGTTATTTCAGCCCAGAACATTGGCCCCAGTTCCATCTAGCTCTTAAAATGAGCACATTATCACTGAGTCAGCTGAAACCAGCCTCGTTAAAGCGCCCCCCCCCAAGAAGCAAGGACTGCTTAAATGCGGCTCCCAAATTTATGAGGGAGCTTAATCTTAACAGTAAAGATGAGCCAGTCCTAGAACCACAACCGACCCCTAGTACTCAGAATAATAAACTAGTTACTCAACCTAGATCGAATCCATCGCGTTCCCGCGCCTGGTCACTCAGGTCTGACCTTGCGGTCAGGTCAAATAAGCCGGATGATAGTTCAGGGAGATCTTTACCTGTCCCTATCCCGAATTCTCAACATAATGTAAACACCTCTGTTTTGAAGCCCACTTGCACACCAGCCTGCAAAATGCAAGTAAACTGTTTCTCAAAACCTTTAATTCCGCTACCTAACATAAACTACCCCTCATATTATGCTAATAATTCACAAAATCCTATTTTCATGCCTCCTATTTTTCCCATCCAACAAAATAGCTTTCCTCTTCCTGAGTCCTGTTCAAATGTTTTTCCAAACAATGCTGCATCTCTAGTTATTGGTAATTACCCCACAAATTTTAGACCACACCAACTTTGTCTTCCACCAATTACTTCGTCCCAACAGCTTAATTTTGCACCACCAGCTCTCCCTTTTTATAAGTAGCAATGAGCGGAACCTACATATTAGGAATACGCTCAGTATTGCCTCTCTCAACGCAAGATCAGTCGTGCGGAAGATGGCACAATTAAGAAGTGTGGCTGTTGAGTTTGACCCAGTCATATTGCGCATTACTGTGTCTTGGGAGCACTCTCTAATTTCCGAGACGGCGCTCGCTAGAGATAAGTCCAGTGTATACCAACATGGCCTTGTTGAAAAACATGGCAATGGTTGCCTTCTTTATTTGAGAGCCTCACTTACACAGTCGCCGTATGACCTGAACACTTCCAACTTCTCTGGAAATTTATGTTTCGATTCGATAATACCTCCGCAAAATAGGAAAGCCATAGTCGGATGTGTATATAATCCTCCTTGTTACTCCGGAAATGAAAGCCAACTCTGTGAACTCTTTAAGGAAATTTCAGAGGCTCCTTTCGATGTCAAGATTATCGTAGGCGATTTTAATTTGCCAAAAATTGACTGGCACACACATGCTTCCTCTCCTAAATTCCAGAAGATTCTTGACACCATTTACTTCTCAAACCTGTCTCAACTAGTCCACACTTCGACAAGAAACGATAGCGTATTGGACTTAATTTTCACTAATGACACCTTCCCTCTATCTATGGATCTCTCTCATGACCTTTTCGCAAGTGATCATGCATTAATTTATTGTCGCCTTCCAGTTGCCATTTTCGCAAAGCTGACAGTACAGCGCAGCATTTTTGACTTAGCTAATATTAACAAGGAATTAGTAAATAACGTTACAAGCACTCTTGATTGGCACAATATTTTTTCGAATAATGATCTTAATTTTTTCAACAATTTATTACAATGGGTAACAGAAGGTCTTCTCGACATAATTCCACGGAAGACGTTCAAATCGAGTACCACTTCCACCGCTGTCCCACGCTTTCTTAAAAACAGACTTAAAAAGCTACAGAAGCAGCTTAAATATCCTTCTGTGAGCCCATGATCAGTTCATCTAAGAATCGTCGGAATATTTGAATTAGCTTCGAAAATGAGACTTGCGCGAGATAGGCGTAGAGAGTCTTTAGCTGTTAATGACGTGAATGTTTCTAAATCAGTTGCTCAGATCTTCCATCAAAGATCATCTGCTAAGTCCCACCAAGTCATTCCGCCTTTGCTTAGTACCAACGATATCTTCATTACAGAGGAGTAAGGCAAGGAGAAATGTTAAATTCTTTCTTTGCCAAACATTTCACCATCGGAACTGGCCAATTTCCTTTAATTCCTCCGTTGTCTGATGCATCTCTAGGCATCATTAATTTTCTTCTGAAACTATTCAAAAACTGATAAACCATCTTTTTAACTCTCACTCAGTAGGTACGGACAATATCCCAAATTCTCTTATAAAACAGCTACGAGATTTTCCTCCTCTGCTTAGCAAACTCTTTTCAGTATTCCTCGTAAATGGCCTCTTTCCTGACTATTGGAAAACTGCTATTATTATTCCTGTATTTAAGTCTGTCTGTCGTACTTATGTTCAGAATTATCGAGGTGTCCATAAAACGCCTTTTCTCGCTAAAACCTCTAAAAAAATTATCGCCTTAAAAATTACTGACTTTTGTATAGCCAATCAAATTATTAGCCCTTCCCAGCGTGGTTTTTTACGAGATCGCTCTTGTGAAACATGTCATCTGTCGTTTCTCAATCTACTTACCTCTCTTCGTAATGACCATCTATCTGTTATCCCTATTTATTTTGATCTTCGTAAAGCCTTTGATAAGGTGCGACATAAAAGACTCTTGGTTAAATTAGAAGCTATGGGAATTCGCAGTCCACTAATAGACTTTACCAAGCCATACCTGTCTAATCGTAAACAAAAGGTTTTGGTGGGATCTTCACTTTCCAGTGAAAACCCTATTGTAAGTGGTGGCCTACAAGGCACCGTTTTAGGTCCTCTTTTGTTCTTGCTTTACATAAATGATACCTCGGCAGCAGTTATGCATTCCATATCATTTTTTATGTCCATGATCTTAAATGTGTATATTCTTTCAATAAATCAACTAGCCTTCATTGTCTGGAACAAATCCATGTTGAGTTGCTTGGTCTCTCAGCTAGGGGTTCAAAATGGCTAATGGAATTCTCTCCGTCTAAATGTCGCTATGTGTTTTGGACCTGATGGGCGACCTCAACCAGTGGTCTTTCAAGGCACACCTATGACTGAATGTACCACCGTCAAGGATTTAGGTTTAAGCTACACTAATAATCTTGATTTCTCGACACACGCTGACAGAATTACAGCCAAAGCTGCCCAGATTTGTGGCTTTATTTCTTACAATTTCTACCTTCCTGAAATTAAATTAAGACTTTATCGTATGTTTGTACTTCACATTTTTGACTGTTGTTGCCCATTCTTTGGTTTGATGAATGAGGCTATTCGTTTAAAAAATGAAAATGTTCAAAGACGTTTTTCTAAAAAACTTTTAGATAGGGAACATCCAAATATCTCCTAATCAGATAGATGCCAGCTACTTAACCTAAAACTTTTATGGGTTCGAAGATTAGCAGCAGGCTTCTGTCTCCTCTTTCGCATTAATAATAGTTCAAATCTTCCTCAGATTTCATCACTTACCCCTAGTAGTCGCCCATACAATCTTCGCAACTCGCCCTTGATTATACCTCCGCCAGCTTCCTCCACCTCTAAGCGCTCTCTTTTTTCGCTTCCAGATAAACTTTCCTCTGGAATAACCTTCCAGACGAAGGTTATCTAAATACTGAGTCGATTAAACTTTTATTTTCCTCATCCTTCCCGGACAACCTTCTCTATGGCACTAAGAAAGGGCCACTGGGGATTTAGGACGCCGCCAATAACTTTCGGTATCTGCTCACATTTCCTTCCTTTGTGAGTCGTATCGCTTCCTAAGATCCCTCACCAGCAATGTTAATTTTTCCAATTTTTCAGTTCATGCATCGTGCCCTCACAGAATGCGCTCCATCGACGCTCTTGGCGAAGCCTTCTGTATTCGCCATATACTAGTAGTCTGGTCGCATCTACCTTGCCCCATCCTCGGATGGACTCGGATGAATGTAACCGACCGCATCTGGGTTCATGTCGCCTCGAGACTGGTTTTCAATTTCGCCACTTATTTGCCTAATTCAAGGCCGCATATAGGCCAGTCCTGCCTGACCCGCATACTTACCCCTTCATGAAATCCGTTACACAATACCATATACAGCGACGATTTTCACGGTTTTTGATGTCATCTCCCGTATTTCAACCTCATGCTGTCTGTCGACGCTCAAGGCGAAACCCTCAGTATTCGCCTTATACTAGAAGTTTGGTCGTACCTCCCTTTCCCACTCCTCGGCTGGGCTCGAGACGTATTGTGGCCGATCGCATCTGCATTCCTCTCGTCTGGCCTCTTTGACGCGAATAGTCTCATCTGGCGTATTAATCCTGCCCTGACGAGGTCGGTTCTGAATCGCGTATACAATACCACAGGCATGCCAGTCCTGTCCGACCCGCATACGTACCCCTCAAGGCTGACATTTATTTCTGCCCTGACGATGTCCGATTATAATCCGTTATATACCGCCACATGCAGGCCAGTCCTGCACGCATTTTTCTGTTATTACTTTTTAGCGAGTGGTTATTTTCCTCCTGTAAAATTAATCCAGTCATTTTTAAATTTTTATGTGGAGTTTCTTTCACCTCTCGCAAATCATAGTTCTTAACGGACTACTAATTCAGAAACTATGAATTGCATTTTGAACAGATTTTGCCTACCTCGTCTAAAATTCGCAAGTAAATTTATTTTTACTTGCTTTGATGGGGTCCCGAAGGGTCTTTAATAAAAATTATTATTATCTATCTGTATACCACACATTTTTAACGCTGCAAATAGGGTACTCAAAGGCCAACGCCTATTTCCCTCAATAAACTGAACTGAACTGACATTTGGACAGTGCCTGCCCCTTCTGGACGTCCTTTTGGTCGAAGAGCAGATGGGACAGTTAGTGGAAGCATATTTCGCAAGAAAATATGCATAAGGCAATATGCAAATTTCTGCAGTTTTGTTTCGCTAAGCCAGAGGCGAAGCTTGGTCTGAAATGAAACTCTTATCTCACCAGCCGAGCTAGGAGAATATTCACTACAGATAGGCTTGACAATGAACTTGCTATTAGACAAAACATACTGAGAGATGATGGCTATTTTGAAGATTTTATCAACAGATATGTGGAAGAACGTCCTCTTAAATCTGAAATGTCGATGGTTGAGAAGGAAAAGTTACTTCTATCACTGCCATTTCGAGGAGGTCCGGCGAGTGCATTTCTACATCTTCGCCTAAACGTTGTTATCACGCACACGCACCCAGCCGCTAAGATAAGACTAGTTTTCACAAGCACTCCTCTTCTAGGCCTTAGAAGCAAGGATAGGCTGCCTTTTGGACCTCTTCAATGTGCGTCTACGCCTTCACTTGCTCTTGTGGGGCAGGTTATATTGGTTGAAAGACTAGGCGTCCATCCAAACGAATGTGAGAGCACCATCCTACCTGGTAAAATCAAGTTATGGAAAAGTCCACACCTAGCACAACTGTGGCTACTTGGTTGACAGTGGCCATCGGGTAGACGTCAACCAAGCATTCCGAGCATTCCGAATAACTAAGTATATTTTGTGCTGACTGTATGTAATTGCATTTGTAATCTCAACTGTGCATAAACAGGGTCACCCAGCGATCGACTCGTAACTCTTAAAAAAACTGAAGGTGGTGGGTTTGTGGTCTTACGCTGGTAAAATAATATCTGTTAGGGTGCATATGATACTGAAAATATTTTAATAAGATTGTTATCTGAACTCGAATTTTGGACGTACAGTTTTCAATAGGAACTTCAAAGGCAATGTCTAGTACCCTTAGATATATTACTATATCTGACTAAGGTGGATGCCTTCACATAGTATTTCGCAAATCCGTTTACCTAGATAAATTTTATTATCTAGAGCAGTCATGTTTGGTAAAGTTGCACAGCGCTGACAGCGACAGCACTGTCAGCTGTGCATCTTTGTTAAAATGTTTATTAACTCTGTTTGTTTTCAACAGAATACACATCTCGTTATAATGGAAATTGAAACTAGTTTTAGGAAGCCACTTTCTCTACTTTCACTGTCTCGAACAGTGCTCATATACCCCACAGAAGCACAGTCCACAAAGACTCAGTTCTCGGAACATTGCCGATCATCCTTTACGTTAATGACAGCCTTCTGGAACTCGACTGCGGTAAAATAATGTTTACCGACGACGTTAAGCTCTGGCAATCCTCTAAGAGTCCAAATGACCAGAGGGCTCTTCAAAACAATCTGCACCGACTGCAAGCGTGGGCAGAGAATTGGCTTCTAGATTTCAATGTTCGAAAGTGTGCCGTCCTTCATCGGCGTCCAATCAACTGTCATTCAAATGTTAGCAGCAGGGCATATCACCTGAAAGGCATTAGGCTTCCCGCAGCATCTTCGCAGAAGGATCTCAGCGTTTAGATGCAGAACGACATGAAACCAGCACTGCAGTGCAGCAAGCCTGCAGAAAATGCCATGGGAGTGCTTCATGCAATCAAAGGGGCGTCCGTAACCTTTGACAAAGACCTCTGTGGGGACGCCTACGGCACCCTTGTTCGACCCCACTTAGAATATGGCATTCAAGCGTGGCGTCCATAGCTAGTAACGGACTGAACATGCCTTGAAAGTGTAGAACGTCGTGCAACAAAGCTGGTAAACGGTTTAAAAAGTCAATCCTACATTTACAGACTAAATTGCCTTAATTTATTACCTCTGTGTTGCAGGCAACAAAGAGGTGATCTTATCCCCGTCTACAAGATAATACATGGCCTTGGCTTTGAGGACGTTTCAATGGCTCCTTTCACCCAATCTTCGTGGTCACTCGATGAAGCTACGGACAACGATGTCTAGGCTGGATCTTCCTTCTGAGTTTTCCACGCAAAGAGATGTGGAGAAATGAAACGATCTCCCTCAATCAGTCGTGGAGGCGACGTCCACGCAACTCTTCAAGGAGCGATTGTATGATTATTTGTGCTCCCTATTTTCCCTCGACAGTCTGAACCTGACCTGAATACCCCGCGATCCCCTGGACGTTTTACCTGGAACATTGCTACTCCAATGAATCAAGTACTATTTTAATAGCGTCCGTGTACAGTTGTATCTAGCGAGTTGACATGTAACCAATAGGGTTTCCAAGGCCTTTCCTATTATCCTTATCAAATAAACTGAAGTGAACGATCTGCGAACACCGCAGGAAAGAAATGGTCACAGTTACAGAACGATCACTTGGATAATTCAAACTTCGTCCCACTTTCTCTTATATGCTTAAAGGTGTCGTCATAAACAACCATCTACCTTGCAGACTTTTACAGAGGTGACGAAGGTCATCGTTGGACGAGGTATTATACCAGTTCTGTGAAGGCAAGTCCTCGCCAGTAGGTTACAGTTGCTGACGCACTTTAGAATATAGGGAAACAAATGTAAACGATTAAGATGCCGGTTAGGCCTTTGATGCGTGAATCATCTGCTTTCGCCATTTGCTAGTTTGGTCGGTCACCGAAGAGATTTCGGGGTCGCATTTTGCCTCCAACGCTTTGATGACCGCCCTAGAGTTTCATGCCCCCTCCCCGGCTGGACTCTAAGCGGACTGTGTCCGATCGCGTCTAGGTTCCTCTGTCTTGAAACTTCGAGGCGGATAACCTCATTCGCTTTAGGAAGCTCTGCCTTGACTATTTGCGTTTTGAATCCCTTATCAAGGGCCTTATCCTCAAAACTAGAACAGAATTCGAACGGGATCTGCTTAACCGTGCTGCGGAGTACCCTAAATTATTCTACGGTTACATTAGGCAGTGCACGCGGAACAAGGACCCAATACCCCTGCTAAGGACTGCTGAAGGCGAACATCTCACTGACGACAGGGCGAAAGCTGATCACCTTTCAGAATTTTGTCGGTCTGTTTTTAGTAGCGAAACAGGATTCAACCCTTCGGCCCTTCAATCCTTCGAAGACACCCCAATTATAGAGACCGTCCAGTTCACTGAGGGTATGGTTCTGACGGAGTTGCTGAGGCTAAATGAATCCAAATCACCAGGCCCCGATGAGGTTCCGGCGAAGATTTTGGAGGAATTCGCCTGTGAGTTGTCTAAGCCACTATCCATGCTTTTCCATACCTCCCTTGAGACCGGATATCTGCCACCCTACTGGAAGTCGGCGTGGATTACGCCGCTGTACAAGGGCGGAAGTCGGGTCTCTGCGAACAATTACAGACCGGTCAGTCTCACCTCCATTTGCTGTAAGATTATGGAGAAGATAATAAAGCAACAATTAATGCAGTTCCTTGAACAAAACCATTTGCTTTCCGATTCTCAGCATGGATTCTGCAAAAGCGGATCCTGTGTGACAAACCTGCTCTACTGTCTCGAACACTGGACTAGGGCTGTTGATAGAGGAGATATGATGCATGTCATCTATATCGACTTTAAAAAGGCCTTCGATAGTGTGCCTCACCACCGCCTTCTATACAAACTTAGCCGTGCAGGAGTGCGAGGTAAGCTTCTGATGTGGATTCGGAGCTTTTTAGTCGGCCGCTCTCAAGCCGTCCACGTCAGTGACCAACAATCTGCCGAGGTTGCCGTTAAGAGTGGTGTTCCCCAAGGCTCTGTTCTTGGCCCTACACTGTTCCTCGTATACGTCAATGACTGCGCAAACGAACTGAATTGCGATGTCGCAATGTTTGCCGATGACATAAAGATCTGGAGTACCATACGAAGCGAAGTTGACGAGGCGCGACTGCAGACAAATCTGGACCACCTTGGGCAATGGTCGAAAAACTGGCTTCTACCGTTCAACGTAAACAAGTGTAATTTCCTACGCGTCGGCAGAACCAGTTCTCCTAACTACACGGTCTACCGTCTGACTGGCAAACCACTGTAAGAAGTCGACGCCCAGAAGGACTTGGGTGTATGGATCACAACCTCGCTTAAGCCTTCGCTGCAATGTTCAAAGGTAGCCAAGTCGGCGATGTCCATTCTATACCTCGTCAAACGGGCGTTCTCCTCCTTTGATGAAGACTGCTTCGCCAAGGTCTTTCAGACTTTCGTCCGACCGCACCTGGAGTTTGCTATCCAAGCATGGAGACCCTGGACCGCTAAAGACTTGGGCATACTCGACAAATTTCCACGGCGAGCAACGAAACTTTTATCTGGGCAGTGGTCGCTACCCTACGAAACACGATTAGCTAATCTTGACCTCTTTCCATTGAGTTACAGACAACTACGTGGGGACCTGATACAAGCTTTCCGCATTGTGCGCAATCAGGGCTGCTGCCTCGCATTTGGAGACTTCTTCGAGTTGGCGACTACGACTAACCTGAGAGGCCATCCACTCAAACTGCGTGTGGCTGGTGCCCGGATAGACACCCGAAAGTTCTTCTTCTCCAACAGAGTGGTTGCAACTTGGAATGCCTTGCCTGAGGATGTTGTTATGTCGGGCTCCGTACATACTTTTAAACGGAGGCTAGATCAGCATTGGAGCGCGCACCACAATAACGCCGGACTACGGTCACCTTGATAGCCAACGTTGACAATTTAGTGCTATTACGATGCTACTACCAACATTCAAGTAACATGTGTTTATGTAATTTATTAATTGTGAACCGCGTCGCACACCGCTGCTCGCATTCACCACGATGCCTGTAGACTAAACAATTTTACTTCTTTTCCCGTATCTTAAGTGTGCCTCAACTGTTCGCTGTATTTGATCAACAAAGCAAGTTAATGTGCCTCTAAATTCTGTTAACGCATGACATTCTGTGTTCATCTGTACAGTTTTTGCTATTCCCCTCGCATTTCTTTCATGTTTCTTCCTTTCGATTTCCTTCATATATATATATATCCTCTGCATGTAACCAATAGGGATTTCAAAGGTACACACCTACTTTCCCTGAAATATACTGATACTGATATTAAATAGAGACCAGTCCCCTTCGACCCTCATTTTTCCCCTTCGTGAGTGGCAGTTTATTTCTCCTCAAATATTAATCAATTTACATTCGTCTAGTGTTTCCACAAGGGGTTTTTTTTTGCTCGCTGACCGTTTTTATATGTGGTTTTTTATTCTACAACCGTGAACTGAATAATGTGCAGAACATGTCTACTTGCTCTAAAATTTACTTGAAAGTTTACATTTACCTGCTATGATGAGATCCACAAGGGCCTTTTAATAAAATCATTTATTAATTTAATAGGGCGCACTCATAGAAGGATAACGTCGGCTGCACGGTTAGCTGCACGTCCGCTGGTGGAATGGAGGTGCGGGGCGCTCAGCAGTGGAAAAACACCCATACCTCAGTTGCTGCGCCTGCGGGGAATCCTCTAGTCCAGACAACAAAAACGACATTGGAATTCTGACAGTCAAATACAGAACTTGGAAACTCCAGATTTCGCATTCACCTGCAGCATATCCATATATTTACCGTACAATGCAGTAGGTATCCTTCTTTTAATGCCCCGAAATGCATATACTGGATGATTTTGTAAAACCCATATTTTACACGCTCTTTGGAGTTGAAATTATTCTGCACGTTTATTTTGAAGGCCGAAAGCTTATGGACGATCTCTGCTGGTTGAAAGTTATGGGGTTATAATGACTTCGTAGACTATTAACTGAGTCACTGCTGAATGCAGAGGTGACTGCCGTCTAGAATACCAATGACAGTGACAGATTATCAGACCTGGAGTCTGTTTTCTCAAAGCGACTGAAAGGGTCGCTTGATAATTTCGCCCAAAGCGTCCAGGAAAAAATTCGACCGAGAACTTCACAAGTGAGTTAGCTTCGACATTTTTGAAACTTCTCTTGTCCTATGGAAGAAATCCCTGACTTTCCTCACCGAACCGGATTACATCCTCGCAGCCACCTCTAACGGGATAAGTAATCACCAGAATATATTTTTTCTTATTTCTTCCGCAAAATTTTCAAATTTAGCTATTATAATAATAACTCCCCATCTCTAACGCAGTCGCCATTTGGACGTTTAAATGATACGCACAATACTGGGTTTGGAAGGCTATAAATGGATAACGAAGATAATCTGGAAGGAATAGGTAAAGCATATGGATTGTGTTGAGCAAAAGATGCGTATGTACTGTTTAACGTGCGGATTTCGGCATTCCCCGGATTGTCTTAAAAAACCAGTGTCCACTCGATATGGGTTAGGCGGATAAAACCGATGTCTAATCGGTGTACGTATCTCAAAAAGTAGATATTTGCTAGATATCACTTCGATAGAATTCGTTACCAGGGTGTTTGTGGAATTTGCAGTGCCTAGACTGGATCCTAGGCACATGTGATTTATTATTTCAGATACAATAATATTTTATATCCAACGAATTTGATTGCAAGTTTAAAGGCGAACGAAAATTGCGAACACTGAATTTTGTCTGAGGTGGAGTAGAGCGCACGAAATCAATTCAGTAGGCTTGTGATGGGTAACGATGTGAAGTCCAGGTTGGACAATGCCAACAGGACTGGATCACTTCAGTTCAGCGGTCTAAAATTAACAAAAGTATGCCTGTTGTTTTAGATCATTATGTGCAGGTACCCGACGAAGTTAGAAAGGTCCCTAATTTACGCATCGTGGATCTCTCTTTGAACAAAATTCGAACTGTTGATGTTTGGATCGGCCTGCTAAAACACGTAAAACTTCTTAATCTTAGTGACAATCGATTGAGTACGTGCCCTCCCTTTTTACTATTATAACAACGGACATCACGTATACTAATTTCCCAATCGCCAAATAATTGACGGGGCCACCGTATGCAGACCGTCCGTAGCCTCCTTGAATATTCGTTTAACAAGACAAAACAGTGTGTTAGACGTTATATGCATATCTAAAAAATCTCATATCGGTTACGGTCAGTGGCAGCAAAGAAAATCACCAGCAGGAGCTTGGTGTATGTTTAAATTGAACATAACAGCCAAGACATTTTTATAAAGTGTGAGTCTCTATTATGTACAAAAGTATAGAAAAAGTGAAAGAAGAGGACATCCAGTTGGCAACAAACACATTAGAATCGCACATAGCGTGTCGGAGGCAACGGGCACCCGACCCGCTGGCGTCAGGTGTTATTTTAGCTGTTAATCACATCCTATGCATGGAAGTCACCTGCATATTCTGGGCCTTATCTCTAAGGAAGGACAGTATTCGATCAGTGCAACAGTCACTATTAATCTGGGCCTTCGGACCTGTTCAGAAGGCAACAATCAGAAAATGGAACAACACTAACAGACGTGGTCTTTCGCACTTCCGTAAGAGCGATTTTGGATGGATGCGGCACCGCTCCACTTGGTAACCTACGCACAGCGCGTAATACGCGAGTTTTCGTCGTTTTTTGGGTTTTTGTCAGATATTCAGGCCTCCAGTAGGAATCGCCCTGTCCTGTTTTCGGCCCGCGTTTTCATCTGCATGCTCATGAGATTGAATGCGTGGCCATCTGCAGGGTGTGGACACCAAACTGGGACAGCAGGTTGCTCCGCCGTGCCGTACTGTTCATGCGTTTTTCGTTGTTCAGTCTTATCTGTCAAACATCAGAGACAGCAGTGGTATTAAATACGATAGACTACACCTCATCCGCATTCGGTTGGTCCCTCACCGGAACGACTTGCGCGCAGTAGCCTCCGAATGATTGTGGGTTGCCGCAAAGTGTGTTTCCATTGAATCTGCCAAACGTTTTCCTCCTGGTCACTGCTCTTATTCTAAGTGGAAAGCAGGGTAGGTCAAACTTGGAATGCCTTCTTTCCGAGACTGGGTAGATTTTCGTGATAAGGGTCTCCAATTTAGTTTGCATCGTCTAAGTGGGAGGGAACCAGCGGGTCCTTGCTCACTATTACCGCCATACTGCGTTTAAATTGGCCTTTGATGACGTCGCTATCAAGTGAACTGCATATTCTACGCTCAACTATCGATATAGCGTGTTCAGCAAGAACTCATGAGGTGCCGAAATCTCGTACTGTGCCAGATTAAATGCGGACTTCTTGTTTCGTACTTCACGACTACTTTCGGCGTGTCCTGTCCACAAACTTGGGTTAAATGGATTCCATGGGGGGAGGGGGGGGGGGGATAAATGGTGGAATAATATCTTATGCATTCGACCAACGCTTCAAATCCAACCCAATCTTTAGAGCATATTTTGTTGCCTTTATTTCAGCATGTTGCGTGTCCTGTCGCCTTTACTGTAAATTGGGGGTCTAGAGTATGTGGCCATTTCCGTCAACCTAAGTGTTTATGCCTATCTAGTAGGCACGCTTATTCTGCGCACTGTAAAATACCCTCACTTTCCAGGTTATTTGCCCGTCGAGGTGACCCAACTGACGAAGCTGGAAACACTATTGGTGTCAAAGAACATGTTAAAGACCCTGGCACCACCGTCATCGCTTGCCAACTTCTCTGCGCTTACCAACCTGCGCACCGTTGATTTCTCCTTCAACTGCCTCACCGATTTTCCCGTGGAGTTGTGTACCTCATCCGTCCCCCTCGATCATCTCAATCTGTCGAACAACCAAATTAGTGTCATACCCACTTGCGTGGAAGCACTTCAGGTTGAACCCCTTTCTCTGAATGGGCTAGTTATTATCATGTTGCTTAGTTAACCGCATTTGGAGCTTCCGAAACCACGATCCTTGTTATCATCGTCATTATTGTTGTTATTATTATTATTCATAACACTCATACACAGACCTCCAGTGCTTGGTGAACGGTACTCACTAAGTCTCCAAATCAGCCGACGTTATGAGGCGGGCTAACCTTTGGGAGTTTTTTATATACTCTATTTATTCTCCTCTTAGCACAGATGATCCGCTTCATGCTATTGCAAGCTTCTATATCCTTCACAACATGTGCGCCTTCGTTTATAATATTTTCTTGAAATTTGTACCAATTTTTACTAGTGCTCTAGAGTAAGCAGTGTGGTTAACGACTATACTCGTAGCAATTGTAAATTTAACACACTATCCACAAAAGCTGAAGAGTCTCGGTATCTGGCATCGTGTCTATGTCCGGCTTAACCGCATCACTAGGGCTAACTTGATGGTGCTCCACTTTGGACGAGAATTCTGAGTGACATCGTCAGGGATGGGTTTGCCTCCGGTCGGAGATCACTCGATTAATACTGTAGGAGGACTCCTGCTTGTCCTAACTAAACGAGTGTCAGTATCTTCTTACGTACTGATTTATTTTCACATTTTTGACGAGTTTCGAGACAATTTGAACTGAAACTATACAGGTGCCAAGCCTATGGTGAAGCTGTCTTTTGGAAAAAATGGCGCGCTCTCCGCAACCGTTCTCTCCAACCCTATTGTCAATTTAGACTGGCTGTATGATAATTTGTAATAGCGATCACCAGAGTGATTTCCATGAATGAACTGATTTTGTTTTGCGTCTGTCGGTGAACAAATACACCCTACGTACCGAAAATGGGAAAATCTCTAAAGGTGTCTGTAAGCGGAAAAAATAACTTAAATGGGACCTCAGTGCTTGTAGCTCTGAACCATAATCTCAAGACAGTTGGTATGCCGGCTTTTCATTAAGAGTGCTCTCAGTCATTTATAAGCAACATCGCTGCTTAGTCCGCGCCTCCTCTCCGTGTATCCTGAATGCTTGTGTGTGGTCGGTTATTGTTCATGCTTGCGGCGCGTGAACCGTCGAGCCAAATTTGATTTCAAATTATTCTGCATTTGTTACTTACACAAATCAGTGATTGTATTCTACAGGTTCATTCAATCTCATACTTTTGTGCATGCTCTCTCCAAATAGCTTTCTACCTAAGGGTACTGGCATGTTTCATAGTCATCACGCATAGGTCCTGACAGTTCTCGGTCTTGTGTTATTACTAAGAGTTCCTTGGACTTGGTGGTGTAGCTGTTTTGAACGCATTTTGGTGGTTGCGCAGGCACTGCGCACACGATCACCAACAACGTGAAAGCTATGCTGAGGAACACCAATACCGATCAACCCATCCCGCCTGTCCGCACTGTGGGCGTACGTTTAAGGGTCGGCTCCCTCCGTGCTGGATACTTGCATCTCCACGCAGCTCACGCTAACTCGGGCCGAGTACGACAACACGGCTGATAGTCATTTGACCGTCCGACTAACCACTGTAGTGGCAATGAAATGAGAGCAAGATGGGGTACATGGCGCATCCGATGTGGCACCTAGGAACTCTGGGCTCCTACGGCGACTCCTCTGTGCCTCTGTCCCTGTGCAGTGTCCTCACAGACCAGCAATTCCTCCATATAGGGCAGCAAGTACGCTCCGACCGCGCCAGCGTAAGTGTGAATTTAGGGCTGAGGCTGAACTTGCTGGGAAAGTTCGAGTGAACCGTAGCATCGAACATTAAAGTACTGCACCCATTCTGCAAACACAATTGGAAAGTGGTAGTTAGTCTCGATTTGGTGGGCGTGAGACCGTATTATGTGCGTATTAACCGCAATACAAGCCGTGCCAGCCTCCAATCTCAGTTGTGTTGGTTGAAATCCTGGTTATTTGTTGTGTGGACCGGGGAGTGTGGTGGAACGCCAAGGTGAGGATCCGTCCGAGCCATCCACCTGCGGCCTCCCTCGTCTCCGGTCTTCTTGACTCTGTCTTGACACCGGGCTCGGGCGAGGGAGGAGGAGAGAGTGTAGGTAGATGCAGCGCAAGTCTACCGGCACTATAAACCCCTGCGCAAGTCACCGTCCCTGTTCCCACCGCTGCTGCAGCTGTGGGGCGCCCGGTGGACATAATCGAAATCGATAGTCGAATTGTCACAAGCAAATTAACGGACAGGGACCCCTTCAGCTAATCTATGAGCCCTACGTTGAACAGAACTTCCCGACTTGTGCTGCTAGTGTACACTGCGTCTTCTCCTTTGGGACGTCATGCGACTCAAATACAGGGTGGAACCAGTTCTCTATCCACAAACAGGCTCGTCCACAAGGGACGGATACCTGACCGGAAATTCAGCTTGGTCCTCAGGTCTGAAGAATCATCAGCGCCGACGAACGGACTGCCGTTTGGAATTCTACAACGTCGCGCTGTGGCGACCACGAGCCGTCACTGCACAGTCCTCTCCCACTCAGGACGTTGATATCGGTGAAAAATATTATAATGTCTAGAAATAATTAAACTATGCTGCTACCGTGTCAGGATCCATTTCTTTGCAGTCACTGGCTTCACCTTCCCTCCTTCCTACCTTATGCACTGCTTAGGCAATTGAGCTGAACCTGAACGAAAATAAAGTGGACACGATTGCCGAGTCGATCGCCCGTTGCCCGCGCCTCAAAGTCCTTCGACTGGCACACAATGCAATCACCCTTCAGGCCTTCCCAATGAGCATCCTCGAGAACTCCACGGTCTCCCTCCTCGTCCTTGAAGGCAACCCCCTGCAGATAAAGACCCTCCAGGAACTCCCCGCACATGCTAAGGTAGACACTTGCCTCATACGCTTGGCTAGAAGAGACTTTTGTTGATGGTAGGGGGCGCTCACCGATCGTTCTTACGGAACTCACTCGTTCCGTTGTGCCTTACGGCCCTCACTTGAGCCCAACCAGCAGCCGCACAGCGGCGCATGATATAGGCAGTATGTTATTACCGACAAAGACAAGACAAGTCCCGTAAGAACGATCGGTTAGCGCCCCCTGCCATTGTATATTCCCTATAGAGAACCTACAGGGCAACGGGCTCGTGGCCCACTGGTTAGAGGCGTTGGACTCATAACTAGCAGGTCGCGAGTTCGAGCTTCGGGTGTTCCACACTTCGAGGCTGGGTATGACTGGCTGACGACGGCAAGTAAGCCATAAATGGCCATTCCAATCTCCCTTGTCTTTGTCGGTAATAACAAACTTCAGCTGTGTATTGTCCATGAAAGTAGTGATGGCGTCCTTCCAGAAAATGCCGAAAATGCTTCACGGCCAAGTAGGTGGTGAGCAGTTAAAGGCCAGCGGTGCTATATAGTGTTTCAGTCGCTGAGAGTTTCTTGGAGAATAAAACCGATGGTCGGGTCGGACCGGTAAGGTGTTGCTGAAGAACCGCGCCAAACAGCTGCTGTAGATATAGGCAAAGATGGCCACTCCAATCTCCTTTGTCTTTGTTCTTGTTGATTTTATTCACCCTAGCAACGCTGACAAATAGGCTTGCACTGGTGTAGTTTTACTGGCGAAGGGAAAGCTGGCTGCCATCCGCAGCGTCGAAAGTTGGCACTTACTGACATTTTTGTCATCGGAATCCCCGAGGTATTTTGCAAATGGATATAGTTTTCGCATTTGCCGCTGGTAGACACTCCAAGGTGAAGTGTCGTAGAAAACCATGGTCACAGGGACGACAACGCTTGCTTGACATTATGGTTATAGGTCACGCGGTTGTGCAGTGGGCGGGGTTTCGGGCCAGAAGAACAAACAGTGGCGGACCATGTAGCAGAAGTTCCTTGTGGCATAGATGGACACCCATCTTGATGACCACCACGTTCAGTCAAATGTCCAAACGACTAAAAGTGCTCCACTTGGACCTCGAGTAAGGCTTTTCCAGTCCCGTCCGTCGCCTACGCTTAATTTTCTCAAATGCATGACTTCTCGCGCCCCACCTGAAACTGCTTATCGTAGTCACCAATTCGCCCTGCTGAGACTTAGAAAGTTCTCTTGAATGAGCCCCACACCAACCACGGTCTGGCTGATGTCCAGGTCTTCAAACGCCCGTAGCTTTGGTCATGATGGATTCGTCTCAGTAATCTTGTTTAAACTGCATGCTCCTCCGTTGGGAGCAAGCCTTTTATTTTTTTTTAACTTAAGCACCACTCGGTAATCGTCTCGAGTAGAGTTTTTGGGGCGCAGCCTCTTTCACAAGGATACAAGTCGCCTGATTCCATTTCCGACTAGGTCTTACGAAAATCTATTTAATTATCCTTACAACTCATGCCTATTGTTCCGATGTTTATCTGTATCAAAATCTCCAAGAATCATTTTTCGGAGAACCTTGTCTCGTCAGAAAGTGCGCGGCAGATATATACTGTTGGACTTTCGTTTTTTAGTACATGGAACGCTACACAGCAACTAAGCGGAAGGCCGTGCTCTAACAGGATTCCAGCTTCGCCACCCTCAATCTGATGACTTTTTTTCCTAATCGCCCGAATCATGGAATTATCTCGTTTTGCCACCATACTTCTTCGTCTACTTATTTCAGATGTGTATATTTATGCAAATTAAGCAATAAAAATCCGTACAAACGACGACGAGTGCTATTGTTTCGGGAATTCTTTCTATTCCGCACTTCCCACAGTTAGTCGGAAGAACAAAAGCGGAACTGGATAGACAAGTAAATGACCAGGTCGTTTGACTGAGACGAATGCTTACTAAACGTTGTTACGGTTAGATGAATAGCCTATTTACATGACACGATGGCGCTGTAAGATCAGGCACTTATAACTGCACTGCGAAAACTGTTCGGGATCGCTGACCGCGTCAGCCCCACCCAGAGTGGTTGGATGGAAATTTCTTTTTTGTACAACTGTTTGTCGAACTCGTTCCACTTGGCTCCCAACCGTACGCTTGATGAGGTCTTGGCGGCAGTTAGAGACACAGGCCATTTAACATCTGAGGAAGTACGTCGACTATCCTACCGGTAAATGAGAGAGAACAGACTTGACGCAGACAACCATTATAAGTGTCCCAGAATCTCTAGTTCAGGCATCCCTTTTTGTCGTTCGCCTCCTGACTGGTGGAGTTTGCATGTATTCATTTAAGGCCTCCGGTTGTGTGTGAGACTCCTGCATCATCCGCTTTTATGACAATTACCTTGGTGGCAAGGTTTTAAGACGCCCCGAGATGGGCATAGACGTCGCCACTCCTCGCACAAGCGTTGATTTCTCACTGCGCAAACTGGGCTTTAATCACTCAGGTGGATGTCATGAAGTTACGTTAAGGAGAAAGCAATGTCACATGCCACAGCCGCTGACTGTATGACTCTAGAGTTACGACTTTTAGCGTGAGAATTACTAATAGAGAAGGAGCGTAAGTGGGCTTAGACGGCGGTACTGTCAAGGGAGGAGGGAGCGGGTTGCTGGCGTGGACGTTGCGGAGAACATGACACCCAACAAAACCGATCGAAGCCTCGAACGTGCGCCCAAAGTGGCTATGTGCAAAATTCGGACATTAGTTCGTGACGCAGTCTTGCGTTTACCAAATCCCGTTGGCTTTCCGTGTGCGAATGACATCGAGGACTTTTCTCCCCTTTCCCGCGGGGGACCGCCATTCAGACCAACCGTAAGGATAATAACCCAGGATTCCTTGTCGACTCCGAGGCACTTAGATAGCCTTCGTGGTATTTTGTGGCATTTCTTCTATTCTGCTTATAAATGAACAATTTTCACAGTCACCTTAGGAGAGTAACTTTGGTGGGATCGCGTATCATTGTAGGACCTTCTTCAGTTTGCTACAGCCACTACGGACTCATGGGTCGAGGTTTAGTCGGAAGACACGACCGGTGCGAATATTCATCTTATTTCAGGCAGGCCCGCAGGTAACCGATGGGCGGTTCCGATGTGGACTCCGACACTGAGGGGTTTACGTGTCACGATGCCCCGGTCGGGATCGCAGTTAGGGTCAGCTAAGGAAGCTGCTATCTTGTAATTCACATTAGGGCTGTACTGGTCATATTTTCCACCTCTCGAGAAAACACTGGGCACTGGCAACTGCCCGACCAACTAAACGCCAAAGGGGCAGTCAATAGCCCCGACCAGTGCCCCGGAGACTCGCGAATTGGCGCCCTAATTTTCCCTGTGCTAATATAAAGCGTAAGGAACAGCCGAAAGGAGATGATTACAGACCTGTCCCATACTTGATATATTTTAATAGAGAAAGTGCTAAACAAGCCAAAGTGGATCCCCGGTCGAATATTTTGTAAAGAAATACTGCCATGGATGCGGGTAAAATAACACTAGTACTTATTGGAGGACCAGAGATAATGTGCGTATGATACAGCTTACTAGATAGGCACCTGACATTCTTTCGACGCGAGTCAACTTCACGATACACACCAGTGAGAAGGATAGTGCCTCGACTACAGACATCACGAGTGCAACTCCAGCCGCGTTCCGTCCCACCAAGGGGTGCTTAGGTACGGAGAATTGGGCAACGATTAATGTAGACCGCCTATTATAACTTCACAACTAAGGAGTACATTGGTGGACAAGGGGAAGTCAACTGGGCGAACAATTCATTCAAGAAATCAATTACATTTTCTGTTGCTTAAGACTTATTAGATCTCGAAGGCCTTGCTGGGATTCCTGCAGACCCTTATTCACATAGTCCAATTTAGCCTAAAGTTCAAGTTGTTAGAAAAGTACAGACGAACTTGCAACGATTCAACATTACGCTGGCACTCCTTGCGCTGGTCGGTCAACTCAGAAATGATTTCCGAGACGCTCTTCTGTATAAACCTACCGATGGGTTAGACACAAACTAAATTCCTACATTCGCCCCACAGAGCTGTACGTGTTCGTTCGATCCGGGAGTTCCTTGACCTGTTCTGTTACCAACTCAGATCGGCGAATTTGGGTATTGAGTGCGTTGATCTGGGCATTGAGAAAGCCTATTTGTTGATTTGATTGAGCCGTTTTATTCTTAAGTTCTATTACAGCCTAGAAGTAATGCGAAAAACAATCCCATACCTTCTGGATTTCTGGATCCATGCCCTTTTCCGACATCCTAGATGGCGCGAAATGCTAACGCCGAACAACCACTGCTGTAGCGGCCGAGGACGTCAAGGGTAGCACACACCGGAGTAAGGAAACGCCGAAAAGAGATCTTGGCCGGGATAGACCTGAACGGAGCTGTTAGCATTCCTTGATACACATCCATACACAGAAGAAGAAGAAGACATGTCGAATAAGAGATAAGGTGTAATATGACGAGGTTGCACGAGAAACGTATAATAATCGTTAATAATACAGGTAGGATGGTTACAACGGTAGAATGACCTGTCTGGGTGGAGAGACGATGCCACATGCCAGCTAGTAAACCGGTGGGGAGCGCAGCGCTGGGGGCAACTGCAGGGAAGGGCCGAGGGAGTGCCGATGTAGCGAGGAAGCGAGCGGTTCGGACGGTACGTTACGTTACGACGAGGGGGAAAGGGATCGGCAGATGAGAGGGTGAGGGACACCGGTTATCTTCACCGACATGCGACTACGCCATCTCCACCCTAGGTCCTCGCGCGGAAAAGTGTCACCTCATTCAAACAACTCTGTACAAGTCCAGGGGCGTTACACTGCAGCCACCTTAACGAAACCGGACGTCCTTGAAACCCTTAGAGCTCACCGCCGTTGGGGGTAGGAGATTACAAGCCTCCAATTCTGGATTTTAGTCCACAGAATCCGGAATAATACGGCACCTCTCTCAATATCTTTGCACAGTACTACGCATAAGTGAAGCTTCGGGACGCTTACAACTAAATGGTGACAGGGAATTTTTTTGGGTTGAGT